TCCAATCACCCCCCCAAGCTCAACAATTGGGAACAAAATAATAGCGACACTACTCGCAGAAGCATTGTTTTTTTAAGTTCTTCAAATTTAGGCAAATTACCCATACCATTTTAGAAGTGGAAGAAGACCCTTAAAAAGGTGAGAAGGAAAAAGTCTTATTAAAATTTAATTCAAATTAAAAAGTCAAATTTTGTGAAAAAGCCTTAAATAGTGCTTCTCGTCGTAATGGTGCTATTATTCTGGCCGAAACTGTTCTTGCAACTTTAGTTTCAGCTTGGCAATCTCTCAACGTCCTCTTCTCTCCTCGTTCGTCTTTTCGTTTTTTTCACATCTTTGTTTCGCAGTGTTCTTTTAGTTTTCTCTGCCTTCATCTCTCTCCCTCCTTCCCTCTCTCCCTTGCACTGGCATTATTTGCGTCGATGGAAATTGATTCGAAAGTTTTGCCATTAAATTGTCTTTTGCCGTAATCTTCCATTTGACGTCACTCACTGGGAAATTCTGGTCAAATTCTGTAATTTCAGCCACGCTCGATGACATTCAATTGTAACCCCCAAAAAATGAAGCAGCATTTGTATTTGTATTTTTATTTCTTTTTTGTTTTTATTCATATATTAACAGATTTCTTAAAAATGCATTAAGTTTCATATGCATTATTCCCATTCCTTCAAATTAATTTATACAATGCTTTTTTTTGCTCTTTAAACTATGCACTTTTTGTTTTTGTTTTAGCAAATAAACTTATATTTAATTTGTTTTTGTTATTTGTTTTTTGTTTTCTTTTGTTTATTGTTTCGCTGTTAGCTTATGTCTCTGTACAACGTTATTCTGCATTCATAATTCTAAATGAACTTAAATAATCAAACAAAAAACAAGAAAAACATTCACAATAGTTCATTTTTTCTGTTTTGGTTATTCACTTTTTTACATGTACGCATGTGTGGGTGTGTGTGTGTATGTGAGTGTGTGTAGAGATTGAGTTATGATTAACCTAAATTTAAATATTCATTCAGTATTCAAGTATTCAAGTCTTGTCTGCCGGCTTTAACTATTTTTACATATCATATATGCATATTAACAAGAGAATTTAAATTTGAGTGTTTTTTTTTATATTCAAAGTGAAATCAGACAAGGCAATCGAGTACAAAACAATTGAAGAGTGTAAATAATTCTTTTTTCTTTGTTAACAAATCTCTTTGGCCATTCTTTAACTACAATACATATCATATAATATAATAATATATAATTATAATAGAATGTAACTTATTTAATTAATTAATTAAGTCGATAACGTAACATAATAATTAATGTTTAGTCTTATTTAGTTTCCCCCATTTTCATATCATATGTTAGCATTACAAACTAAATAAATGCATACTCGTCGCGTACCCCATAGCTGTGTGTGAGTGTATTTGAAAATTATTATGAAAAATTCAACTTAAATTTATTTTAATATATATTTAATGAAAAACTTCGATTTCTTACATGCCCAAACAGAAAGTATTATCTAATATGCGGGGAAGACATTTTTAGCTTTGTATCAAAAATCTACATCTTATACATCCCATGCACTCAAAACCACTCACTCACTCATTCATTCATTCATTCATTCAGTCAGACATTCATTTCGTTTCAGTTATAATCAAGATATATTCGAAAAATGCAATGAATTAGTTTTTTTTTTTTAAACAGCAAGATAGTATTTATGTTTGTATGTATGAGTGTATGTATGAGTGAATATATGTATATATATATATATAATCAGGAGACACTGAAAGACTTAAGTCCTAAGTTAATTCACTCACATTCACTCATTTCTCACTTTCAGAGTGGAGTTATGTGTAAAAAACACAGTTCTTCCTACAAGTACGAAATGCCAAATTTAAACTACTTTAATAACTATTTATGCTTATTATTTGTGTTTGTTCTTGTTTTTTGTTGTTGTTGTTGACTGTCTGTTTTTTATTTTGTTTATATACCTGCATTTGTCCTTTCCAATAATCTTAAGTCGTTCTTAGTGTTTTCTTTTTATTGTACAAATTAAATTTGGCATATTGATTGAGTAGGTCTCTAAATACGTTTACGCAACCCTCGCATTTTCGCATTCTTGCATCACTCGCGCTCTCGCATCCCTCGCATTATTTAATTAGTTTGGCTTAGCTACTTATGCCTACAGTTTTTATGTTAAATGCTCTGTTATGCAGTTTTGGCAGCACTATGTGGATTAATAAGCTTTTCACATATGTTTATCTTGACATATCCCATTCGAGACGTGGACAAGGACACAACAACAGCAGCAGCAGCACTGTTAACACGAGCAGAAATGTTAACAACCTTTTTCAATCACTAATCTTGCTGGAAGAGCCATCTACAGTATACAAATACATATAAATACAAACATACGTATTATGGTAGGCAAGTGTTTCATAGTATTAAGCAATTGACACAGAGAAATCTAACATTCCAGGAGATCGATAACAACTGTAGCTGAGTATGAATGTTAAATAAAAGAAATAGCCTTCTTTAAACTTTAAAACAGAGGGGCGCGCGCTTAATTGTTCTTTTGAAATACAAAGGAAAGAGTCAGCAAATTCACACACGAATATATACATACAAGTGTGCTCTGCTGGTCTCTCTTGTGGCCTCTTAAGCGCCGTTATAATTTTCCGTATTTTCCTGCTCATTTAACTTTTATCTCCGTGCGGCAATCACAATTATTCAATAGCGGATACCAAACCCAACTTGGAGCGTGATAATTTGTGCGGGCTTCAGTTTGATTGCTGCAAGCACAGCAGCTGCAATCCCGTTAAAATTTATAAACACACACGTACACGTATACATATATAGTATAAGTATATGTATGTGATTGCGTTTAATTTTACTTTTAGTTTTCGAATTCATTTCCTTTGTCATTGTCTTTGCTCTGGCGTGCGTTAATTTCGACTATACACATATATATATTTAATTTAATTTTTAATTACTTTGCTCAGTCAATTGTCAATTCAGTCAGTCAGTCATTCAGCCAATTTGAGTGGAAGAAAACAACCCTGTTTCTACTTCACATGCTTGCCAAAGAAGAAGAAGCGGAAGAAGAAGCAGCAGCAACTAAAGCTCATTTTTTTACTGATGCTGCACAATTGCAACCAGAGTGTGAGCGAGAGGGTCGAATAACAGACAATGGCAGCTGCTGTTACTTGCTAATTACAGCTCGATGAATATTAATTAGTGTGCATTTTAACACATATACGTACACACATACACACACAGATGCACACGCACACAGCTGCACATGTGTGTGCAAGTTTTTTGTCTTTTGCCTTTTGGCATAAAATGTGGCAAGGAGTTGGAGTCGAGTGTGTTTTCCATTGCATAATAGAATTGTCATGATGTGCTCCAGCGCGGCCAGCATCAGGCAGCAAGCAACAAGACAGAAGTTAATGGCTGCCCCAAGATGAGCATGTCACGCTCGCTGGTCTGCGACGACTAGCAGCAAATGTGCGGCAAGCACTTATCCCTCACTCCCAGAGGGTGGGGGGAGAGGGAGGGTGCCCCATCATAGATCTCAATCGAAGCTGTTAGCTGTGAAGCCTGCACATAATGCCATGTGCCACGCCCATCGCAGCTGCTGCTGCTGAGTGGAGCAACAAAAACAAAACAACAATTGAACTACCTCCGCCCTCTCCTCCCTCCTACCTCCACCCGCTGCTGCCTCCATTCCTAGCTCTGTCTTTGTATTTTTGCACTTGGCAAAAAAATCGCACTGAATTTTAGAAAATCGCCCTGAAAACAAGAAAGTATTTACTAGTTTTAAAAAACCGATGAAGTTCTATGAATCTATAAATGATTTTTAGAAAGCCACAATCTACAATTTAAGAAATTTACTGTGTGAATAATTAGGTGAGGAATCCTATGGCGATTTACTAAAATCTAGAGCGATTTTTTCTCCGAGTGTATGTACATGAGGTTATATTAGAGTTCCTTGTATACATATAAAAAACACAATGGAAATTATACATTTATTTTCTAAATTTTAGAAAAATTGTCGATAAAATGATGGGAAGAAAAACGCTGACTCGGAAATATACTTTCTGAATAATAAGCTGAATATATACTTAAATTGGGAGCGAAGTATTTTCTCTGAGTGTAGCCCATTCCGCGCTATGTTTTAGTATTTTTGGGTGCACACTAACTGGCAGGCTACAGACACTAGCAACAGGATGGAGAGGAGTTGGTGCCAACAACTAATCGCTTGCCGTAACTTGCTGCTGCTGTCAACTGTTCCAACTTAAACATATACAAATATATATATACATGTATATATATATACATATAAATATATTGTGTTTTTTTTTGTGCCACGCCCAACGCAATCACGTGCCCATCGACTTGAGGCCGGAGCACGCCCCAGGGAGCTGTCAAACGGCTGCGCGCTGTTTCGCCTGCTCTCAGCTCCCAGCTACTGTTTCCTGCTCGTTGCACGCTGCTCCCAGCTCCTCCTGCTCCTAACTGATGGTGTACCAAACTAATTTTGAAAAATTTTTGAGCGTGTCTCAAAGTTTTTGTTATGGCTGCTGTTATTGCTGCTGCCCCAGCTAATTAGCAAAACGCAAATCCTCGCCAAGCAAAAGCAGCGAGCAGCCAGCAGCGAGAAGGAGCTGGTCATCCTATCTGCTGCTCTCGTCCTGCCGACAAATGGCCAAGCAATGAGATCCGTTTCGTTTGTTATCTAAATAAACAGTCCAATGTTTTATGGGGAGTGAGTCGAGTTTTAAAATTTACATAAACTAATTCAGTAGCTGATTTGAATAAGGTAATGGCCACCAATTGTTGTTGTTGTCTTTGCTGCTGCTGCTGCTGCTGCGTGTCCAAAGAACACGTCTAGAATAACCATAAAGACACAGAGTTAGAGAGAGATAGAGAAAGCTTCTAAACTAGCTACGAGTCGGAGTGGAGTACATTTTAGGTATATATATATATATATATATTTATATATATATGTATATGTGTATATGTGTATGTATATGTGTGTATGTAGATGTACAGCTGCGAACAAAATAATAGCTCCACTTTCTCACAAGAAATGCTTGCATGTTCTTCGATGTGCAAGAAGACTCTTAAAAAACAGGGCAAGAAAAAACCATAATGTTATGCACTGTTTTCAACTTATTTAAATATTTTTTTTTTTGCTTTTTCATTCGTAAGGAAAAAGTTGTCGTAGTGGTGCTATAATCTTGAGCGCAACTGTACATGTGTTATGTAGATGTAAGGATGTAGTTACCATTATTGGATAATAACCTCACTCAGTACCGGGACGACTCCACTGCTGCTGCTGCTGTTGTTGTCCCAGTCTCCGCCTACAGCTATACGAGATGCCCGTCTGCATCGGTGTAGGCAACCTGGACACCCTGCCCCGCCCCCACGCTGCTGCTGATGCCCGCCGTCCCGTTGAAGGTGGTGAGGGACGCCGGATCGTAAGTGGCACTGGTTGTCATCAGCAGATTGCTGCCCAGCTGGGCGCTGCTCACTGGCAGATTGAGGATCTGCAGGCTGCCCATCGGCAGACTGGCATTAAGCAATTGTTGCTGCTGTTGCTGCTGCTGCTGCCTGTTGCGATTGGGATCCTTGAGAATGCCGTGTGGCTGGCGGGGCAGCGTTGATGTGGCAAGTGGCAACGCTGTCGTCATGCTCCCATTGAGCATTGTGCTCGTCGTCAGCGTTGTGGCACTCAGATTGATCGGATGTTGCAGATCGTGCAACATTTGCCCGCCTCCGACTCCGGTCGACGTGTGATGCGTAACATCGGGCGGCGGACCACCGACCACGCCCCGCAGTATGCCACGCCTCAAGGTGCCTCCACCTGTGGCACTGCCATTGCCAATCAGCGTTGCTGTCCCATTGCTGGCCAACAGTGCCGCCTGTGACGTCACCGTGATGGGCAGCGGCTGCAGATGCGTCAGTGGCACAGCCAGCGGCAACGGCGGCGTGCTGAAATCCAACGCACCAGGATATTCCTGCAAAGAGAAGAGAAGAGAATTCTATCATTGATAGTGCCTACACTCAGGAAAAAATGACACTGAGTTGAATATACATTTATAGATTAATTCAAATTATTATTTCTATCATAATAAAGATACAGGCAGGTGGTAATTATATCAAGGATTTTCTTACTTTTTATAAATGCATTTCATAATAAACAAACATTTTTTAAAAATATTTTTAAACAGCATTTTTTTGGGTTTGTCGATTTAGGGAAAACCTTTCTAATTTTAAGAAAACAGTTGTGTATGGCTATTTTTGTATATATGGCTTGTTGGGTAGCCTGGTAATTATAATGCATAGAGTCAGGCAGAGACTGGGAGTAGTTTCTAGTTTCGGTTTATCATTCTCAGTTTCAACTGCAACTCGTTCGCTCAATGGCTTAAAAAGTTTTCTCATTTAAATGTCGGCGAAGATATGAAACACAGAGTAACGCAGAGAGAAGGGAGAGAGAGAGAGAGAAGCTGAGAAGTTCTAAGAATTCCGGCTTTTGTTATGTTTTTTTTTTTTTTTGTAAAAATAACAATGATATTCCTTTCTCGCAGTTAACAACAATGATATTAAGCGATTTCTATCTCGGCCACATTGCGAAACAACTCTTTGAGAAATTTCATAAAGCGATAGTTTTTTCTTTCCTTCCTTCCAACTGCTAACAATGTGGATAATTATAGATTTTCAGTATATCCTCCTTTTTATACAGCTGCAATTGCTGTGTATTGAATACTGGATGTGCGTGTGTGTGTATAAAAGTTGTGGACAAGTTGCAAGCTGCAAGTTTGGTAAAAATGTGCTGCATTTTTTGTTGCAGCTGTTGTTGGTGTTGCATGTCTGCTGCTGCTGCTGCTGCTGTTGCCTGTTTGCTGCTGCAAGTTGAACGCCTTAGTTAGAAATATTATCTTCTACTTCGAATGACATGACACTTTGTGTCAGTTTGGAAATTGTTTCGCATGCTGCATGCTGCATGCTGCTTGCTGCTGTCCGCCCGTCCATTTGTCCGAGAGAATGCGCCGTAGTTAGAGTAAGTTTGACGCAGCCGTAGACTACAACACGGGGCACAGCAGTAACTTTTGGGAACGAGCAGAAAACTTGAAGTTGAACGGCGTTCCTAATTGGTATTGGAATATTGCAGACGAGGTAAAAAAAAAGAAGGAAAAAACGAAGCAAGCGTTTTCACAACGATTTTATCGTCAAACAGATTATATTGAAAATTTGTAATATTGGCAAATGATAAAGTCGTAGACGGCAAACGAGTTGAAGCCAAGAAGGGCTAAAACACATTAAGCGAGGGAGTAAAGGGAAGAGAAGCGAGGGGAGCAAAGGGAAGGGAATTTATACGCGCTTTGCTGGTGGCACTGATTAACAAGACAAGGAGTTGAAGGCCTCTGCCTTGTGTCTGGGTAGTTTAGGATAAAAAGGACTTAAGAACGCCAAGACGGACATTTTGTATCAGTTTACAAAGTTAAATTGTCTTTAACGAAAACTTTGAACCGTGCTTTTGCGTGAGGTTGCTTTTGGGGCTGGCCAGCAATTTGTTGCACTAGAGAGCAACAGCAACATGGAATCGGCAACAGCATCATTTTGTAGCAGCAAAAAGGGGTTACGAGCAACACAAAAAACTTTTCAGCTTGTGCCACTTAAAGGTCTTTGTTGTGCGTGTGTGTGTGTTTATATGTGTGTATATGTGTGTGTGTAGGCTGCCTTTTAAGCTGGCGCTAATTCTGTGCCCTTGGATCGACACGGAGGCCGACTCATTATTGTCGTTATTGTTAAAGTTGCCACTTGCCAGGCGGCAAGGAGTTCATTTTGCGTAAATAGAATATCAAATGTGTGACTACCCCAAAGGACAAGCCCTCCGCAGCCTACACTCAGCAAAATAAATCCACGTACAAATTAGAAAAGCCTGCTCAAATTCTACTTTCTAAAAGTTCCTCGACTTTTATCGTCGTCTGACTGATTTTTCCATATTAAATGATATGAATTTATAAACTATCTTAAATGTTGGTTGTATATATGAGACCTTAAAATACTATAGCCAATGTTTGATTCGTTTTTATGCATTTGTGAGATTATACATGTAGAAATATGCTTTCTGAGTAATAAGGTGAGTCACCTCTGGTGAATTTCTAAAATGCAGTTCGATTTTTTTTGCCGAGTGTAGCTCAAGGACTGCCTGCTTTTAGAGCCATCAAACTTTACACATTAAATCCGGCGTAGCGGCGCCAGGAAGCCTCTAACACCGAGCCGCGCCGAGACTAGGGCCGCTGTTATCCTGGCTCCTGGCTGCTACGAAATTAAATTATGGACACTACTGCGAGCGTATTCAGTTATTTATTTAATCGACATCAGCTGCTTGAAGCCTTGAATTTTAAACAAAACTCGCACTCTTTGCTTTACTTTCAACAGGAGGAGCGCACAGTGCGTATGCGCATTATTATATTATATTGTATAATAAGCGAATTCTGCTGGCTGGCTGAGTGACTTTCGAACTGTCTCCGACAGGCCAGACAAGGCTCCCGGTTCCAGATGAATCCAAAGCGACACAAAGTGGGGCACCAACAATGCCAAGTGCCCCAAAGGCCCGCACAAAACTAATTGAATTTTGAAAACTGTGCTGAATTCGCTCGCTAAACGAGTAAGCCATAGTTGAGTTAAGGATGACGACGACGATGCCACTTTCCACATGCACGTAGTGTCCATCCTCATCCTCTTATTCCCCAGCTCTGCTGCCAGCTTTGGAGATCGGACATCGGACATTGGACATTGGGACATGAATGCTGCGCATATCTAAATGGAACAGCATAGGGAACACAGCCAGCATTTAACTTATCAACTACAAGTTGGGCGTGACAAGGGTGAAGCGGGTTGCGGGTGTATGTGTGGTGTGGGTGTGTGTGTGTGTATAAAACTTTATTTTATTGTTGTTGTAGTTGTTGTCAAAAAAGAGGACATGCAGAACGCAATTGGCAATAAAATACAAATTGCCGCTTAAATAGTTACATGTTTTTGCAACTCGAAACTCTGAACTGAAAACCCAAACTCGACTCGCAACTTTATGCTGATATACATATACATATAAAAAAATAATAAATATATGTATATATATGCTGTTGCAACAGTAGCCGGCATTGCAAGCCCCTAAAGCTGTTAGCTTTAAATACAACACTTGAGCACACTTTCAATGGCAAAGATATTCGCTGCTCGAATTACGTATGCGCCGCGTGGGCCACGCTGATGAGGCACGGGCCGCAATCCTGTGCTACATGGCCAAGAGAGTGAGCCAATCAACTTGGCGTCCAACTCGATGGCAACTTACTGTCCATATCTACACTCAGAAAAACTCTGATTTTTTCACAAAATTTGTTCTGATATTCTCAAAATAGTAATGAACTTTGCTCTCTTTCAAATTAGTTCAACTGTGTGCAATATATTTGTGCAATATATGTTAAATTTGTAAAATTCAGTGCGATATTTTTCTGAGTGTATATACAGATAGCGAGTCTGTCACCGCAATTGTCGTTTCTTTTTCGGTTCGGTTCGATTCGATTCGATTTGGTTCGTTTGGATTTGGTTTAAGGACAGCTAAACGGCGTATCGCGTGGATGGATGAATCTTTTTGTTTTGTGTGAAGCATTTGAAGCGATTGAAATTTAATTTGATTTACTACAATAAATTGTTTTTATTCATTTCTTTTTGTTTGCTGAAACTGGGGCCAGCCAACTCGCCGACATCTGTGCACCAAAAATGTAATTTAGTGCTGGCCAAATGTTTTACAAAAAATACAACACCACTGCTGACACAAACTGCTGTCTCTCTCTGCCTCTCTGCCTCTCTCTACCTTTCTCTGTTCTACTGACCCAACAGTGATTTGTTGCACTCTCTATCTCACTCTCTCTACATATATTTATATATATATATATATATATATATTTTGTAATTTTTCTAATGATGTTTATCAAATAATTCAATTTGGCTCCACAAAACATTTCTTATGTGAACGAGAAAAGGCTGTCCATAAAAGTAGAGGGCTAGCTGGAGAGGGAACGTAGGCACATACAACACACACGCACACACACACACACACACGCAGCACACAACACACAACACACACCACACACACGCATACTTACATTGGCATTGTTAGCCAACTAAACCGAAATTGAATTTTTCTCCCTCGTTGACTAAAAACCGCAAACAAAAGGTTTCTGTCCCATGTTGACTCTGACTAACATGTGCAATGGCGCAGCTTAGGAGCAGCAGCAGAAGCAGGATGAGCACAAGCAGCAGCAGCTGTGCTCTGATAGAGCATTGATATCTCTCTAGTGGCGACTCCATCATTTAACTGTTATCCACACAGTAAACAAACGAACAGACAAACAGGCAACAACTGAACTGAACTGAATTGAGTAACTGGCCAAATCGCATAAGGCATAAAGCCCATAAAAATGGTCAGCTGCTGGCATAAATATTATTACATTACCAACCATTAGCACCAAGTGTGTGTGTGTGTGTGTGTATGTGTGTGTGTGTATGCCATGCAGCTTAGGGGGATCGACAAGAGTTGTTTCTAGTGGCAACTGCATTTTGTTCGCATCGCGACTCTAATTTATACAATTATTGGCCTGGCAACGCCATAAAATGCCAGATGACAGGCGCTGTTCGAGGGGTTGCGGTGGAGGAGGGGGTGAGGGGTGCAGCGGGTCCGATGTAGGGTGTTGGGTGTCAGTCGCATTGAGTGTCGTCTTAACTTGTCACATTTACACCCCTTTAGCAGACGCAGTCGTCGTCGTTGTCAACTAGAGGCAGTGATAAAAAATACATATACACTCAGAAAAAAATCATACTGAATTTTAGCAATTCTTTTTTTATATTTTACAGTGCCTTTTTTAAATTTAGAACGAAATATATTTAATCTTCGAGGTGTTTTTTTTTTAATTAAAAGTATAAATAATAATAAAAAATATTTCTAAAAATTAAAACAAATGAAAACCATATTTTTTGGGATTGTCAATTTAGGGCAAGCCTTTCTGACTTTAACAAAAATGTTTTCTAATATTGAGCAATTATTTAAAAAACAAGAAAATCTTTCTAGCCTTGAGGAACATTTTCTAAAATTGTGTTTTTTTTTGTCTGTGTGTAGAGGCTGAGTGATAAAAAATACACATTCACATACAAATATTTATATATCGTATAAGCATACATATATATCAAAAAAAGAAAAAAATAAAACAAATGGAACGAGGGTAATAAATATCGAAAATTGATTTTCTCATGTTTATTGTGAATTTGTGGAATTTATATTGGGTTAGCAATGCGACACACACAGGACGATGAAGCTTTCTGGGGAATTTCTTCGCCCATTTTTTTTTTTTTGGGTGTTTTTTTTTGGGTACACATATAAGGTCAGTCAGCAGAGAATGTGGCATGCCAGCCAGCAAATCTGGTAATAGCAACAAATGAGTGGGTGTGCGTGTGTATTAGTGGGTATAACACTTTGGATGCCTTCAAAATCAGAATCTGAGCGACACGCCCAGCGAACAGGATCAGATGAGCAGAGCTGCACTTTATGAGTGATGCGGCGCAAAACTTTGTTGAATGTAATGAAGCAGCAACGACACACACACACACACACGCACACACGCACACCCATTCATACACAAAGGAGTGATGTGGCAAAGCACATGGGATAAATGGCAGCTACGATATGGATGTTGTCGTCATAAACGTCTTCGTCTTCGCTAGTCCTTGCTAGTTGTTGCTGTTGCGTCTGTTCAGCGCTGCGTATGTGTAATATTAAATTGTTGTCTTGAGAAAATAATGTTTACTTTAGCAAGTACAAACAACAGCAGCATCAGCAGCAGCATCAACAGCAAACAACAACAAAATGATGACAACAAAGCAAATGCAGCCCAAAAGCGCCCATCGACTGACTCCCTTTGCCACCACCCTGCCGGCTGGTTGCAGCTTAATGCTTTTGAGTTTGTCATTTGTCTTTGCAGCGCGTTGCATGTGGCACGCGGATTATAAAAGTCGAACCGAGTTAACTGGCACTGCACATTGCTGCTGCTCAACGAACATTGGCAGCTGCCAGCTGCACAGATGCCACTTGGCATCCTTGCTTCTCTGCCCCTGATCGTATATAAGCTATAGTATATTTCTACATATCTACATACACTCAGAAAAAACTATATCTATTGTTAATAAATTAATTTCTAAAAAGTAAATATGCAAGCAATAATTGAAATAAATGGATCAATTCTTAAATTTGTATTTAACACCATTCAGATATAAAAGAAACCCCTAATTTTTTAAAATATACTTTCTGAATAGTAAGCTGAGTTAAAAGTGCTAAAAAAACAGGACGATTTTTATTCTAAGTGTATATCTACATACTAGAATGTGCATATGTATGTGTGTGGCTGTGTTCCCTTGGCTCTCTTTTGCGGCGCCGGCAAATAGAGCTGGATTTGCTGCCAGGAGCATTGTGCATAAAACTCTAACTAATTGCGCGAACTAATCCTTGGCCGTGACTAGCCATAAGCGACAGGACAGCAACAGCAGCGACTAAAACTGCAAGCGGAGCTGAATTACTTCCGACTCTATATTGGGGATCAAAGGGAAGCGGCCAATTAACATCGCATTGCATCAGCTAAGCCAAGCCAAGCCAGCATGAAAGAAATAAGGGAAGAAAGAATCTGTCAGGCGTGACATGGCAAGCATAGCGCAGCTACAACCAGCAGCAAGGAAGAAGCCTCCAGTCGCCTGAAGTCAGCTGTCATGTATCAAGTCCAGCACTATTATTATTATTATATTTATTGCATAACTGTTAGATCTATTGTGGTCGCTTCTATGCCTGTAGCTCTTCCAGCAATCCTCATTTCCTATTTCTGTTTCCATGTGCTTCGAACTTAGAACATGTTGCTCTAGAATAGTTCATCTATAGTTCACAATCTGTTATGATGTGTTTTGGGAAGTCTCTTTCATCGACAGATTTCCCTACAGATTATACCAAACTTAATTTGTTGAGTACTTAGTCTATAATCTCCGATAATTGAGAAGAATCCAAATCTGGTCAGAGATACTTTCTTGTATCTAATACAGAAACTCAACTCCAATGAACCCTTTTTACCAGAACATATATTCAAATTTTAAAGTCTCATGAATATCAAGTGTAGATATAATATATGTAATTGATCTTGATCTTGATATCTTCGACCCATACCTCCTTCTCTTTATATTCATAATATTCATAATACTCACCATTGGCGGATAGGAGAGATATCGTTCACTATTCATGTTGTAGTAGGATCCATCTGGTGGCGGCGCGGGCGACGGGGACGGTATATAGACGCCCTTGCCGATGAGCATCTGATCGTCGCGCGTCATGTGGCCAGCAGCAGCAGCAGCAGCGGCTGCCATCACAGCGGCATGCCCCTGATTATGCCTCGGATGGGGCAGCGTGCACGCATTCACTGAAATTAAATCAAAATCACGAAAAAATTTAAGAATTATATTTGAGCGAGTTGCAGCGTTTTTCTTTATTGCTTATAGCTTCGCTTATGCATGAATTTATGACAATTTTAATGCGTTTCTCTGGCACGTTTTACACATTCAACTGTATTGATTTTTTGCTTAACCCATAGCTCTGATTGTTGGTAAAATAAAGAAGAAATAAGCGCCTTGCCCGTTGCAAAACCGCAGACGGGCTGTAGCACAATTTCAATTTGGGCACATTGCAAATGACACATTTATAGCCGCATTTGAAAAATACGAAAACGAGAATAGCCAAAAAGGGAAAAGACTTGTGCAACACACACAGAAAGAGAGACGATTACTGCCATTGCACACGTATGGAGCAGCTGCCCCACTTGCAACGTGCCACTTGGCACCCACGTAGGTGCAACATTTTGCTGCTTTCTGGTTCATTTGATGTGCAAACGTTTGGAAACTGAATAAAACGAGTGCCATTAATTGCAACGATTGGCCAGAGGCGGACAGCTGATAAACGTCTAGTGTTGCATGCCACATGCACAAATAGCAACACCTTAGCGATTGACAAAACTCAACTTATAACAAGATAAACGATTTGCCGTCTTGTCAGCCACAATGGGAATACTCCTGCTATTGTCTCCGCTTCCAGTTGTCAATGGCAAAAGCGTGAAAGCCGCAAACGTAACAAATTTGTAATTTTGTAGAATAGACTTACAACACTGGTACACACAGATGCACACATACCTAACACCCGCACCCACACATACCACAACAATCAAAGTTGGCAACGTGCAGCTCAAGTTGCGAGTTCTTTCAGCGGGCGCTCAAATGTAGGCAACAATAATTTTGTTAAGCAACTCGAGGAAACTGCGGCTGCGGTGACAGCAACAACAACTACAACAACAAAAACAGACAAATCGAAGACTTTTCTGGCCTGGCAGAAGCCTGACATGAAGCTGTCCTTCAAAAGGAAATTGAAATCAGCAACTGAAACTGTAGCTGTAGCTGTAGCTACTGTATCTGAGAGATGCTTACCGGAGCCCATGTTCATTTTGTGGCTTGTTTACTTTGCATATGCGTATCAGTATTGAGTATGCGTATCTTGCACATTTCGCATGTTGAACAATGAGTACTACGAAGAAACCATACAGCCAGCCAGCTGTTTGGCTTTGCTGCAGAGTTTGGGGAGCCTTTCTCATGAATTATTGATTTTTCGATCAGTGAGCAACGCTCGCAATACTAAATCCAAATCAAAGCCAAACAACCAACAGAAGACAAAACAAAACAAAAAGGAAAACCCATCTTTGTACATATGTAATGTGCGTAATTGGCCAGATTCTGGCCACATTGCTTTAGGTGCCAACACTCATTTCATATTAATAGCAAAAATGTTGTCTGCCACACAGTTAACTTTTGTAATTGGTAATTGGTCATTTTTCGTAGGATTTTTTCTGCTAGAAAATCAATGTGAACAACACTTTGCAGCTTTGCCTTTAAACTGGCCAAGGCCTAACCACTGCCTAGAAGCGTGACATTTCAGAGTATGTTGTGTGTATATATACATATATTATATATATATATATGCGTGAGTGTGTGCTGTGACAGTTGTAGTTGCCAAATCGCCCAAACATCTGCCTTCCATGGCGGTGGCTGGTGCTCATTAACAGGGTGGCATCTTGAATAGCATCTCATTAAAAATGCGGCACACAGTTTGCTTTTGGTTAAATGCAACTGGCATACTTTATACAGAGAGGCTGTATAGCAACGGACATGGACATGCTGCTGTTGTTGTTGTTGTTGCTCATCTATTATTTGATCTCAACTGAGCCAACAGCAGCAGCAGCAGGTGGCGAAAACTAACAAGAAAATACGCGTGCTACCAGCTGCAAATATATGTTTATATTATCTATGTACACTCGGAAAAAAATCGAAACGATTTTTGTTGGAAATCGCTTTAGCATTGTCGACAAGTGTTAAGCTCACTATTATTCAGAAAGTATATTTCTCTAAATCAGGTTTTTCTTTCTTACATTTTTCAAAAATTTACAAAAAATATGTTTAATTTTCAGGCAGTTTTCATATACGTAAATTATTAATAAACATAATTTGTTTTATGATTTCTCTTTATACAAAAATTGTATATATCTTGTAATAGTTTATAGTAATAGAAAATATTTCTAAAAATTGAAAAATACAGGCCTAATAATTTAAAAAAATGGATTTTCTTGTTTTTGTTGCTTCCAAAAAAACAAGAAAAACTTATTTACTTCAGGGCACTTTTTTTCTGAGTGTAGCTATGTACATACATTTGTATATATATCCAGACAGCTCTTCCTCATGGGGAATTATAGCCTTGAGGGCTTGTTTGAGATTCAGTTTCCGGCAAGCATTTTAATTTTGCTGCCGCTGGGGAGATTTTTGTTTTCACATCTTTTTCTTTCATCCGTTCGCGTGTTTTTCTATGGTTTCTTTTTTTATGTTTTTTTGTTGACGTTTGTGTTTTTTTTCTTTCTTTCTTTCAGTTTTTTGTTTTTTGTTTTTTAGCACGCAGCCGCATACATAATTACGCGTGCTGGAGTCGTCTCCGTTTATTTGTGGAAAGGCAAGCAAGTCGTTGCTATTGGCCTTGTTGCTGTAATGGCAGCTACTTTTGAAGTAAGCTCCACTTGCCAAATTCGTTGACATAAGGTAATTGTATTTTACTTTCGAGTCGAGACAGAGACAAAGAGTGCGAGAGAGAGCGAGAGAGAAAGAGAGAGAGGCCAAGTGACAAAGCGACAAGACAGGACATACAGACAGACGGGACAGACAGAAGACAGAGGCCAAAAGTTTGCAGCTAATGTATTTTTATTATTTTTACGCTTTGCATTTCAAATGCAGCTGCCGTTGCTTTCAGCAGTGTCTCTCAATGTTATTATAATGCCACGACTATTGTCTTTTCCTTTCGTTCTTTACGTTCTCCTTTCTTTCCTTTACAGTTATTATTTTTCCATTTTCATACGGTAATTTCCAGGGCTGATAGATAGATAGATGCGATCGGTATTCCTTAAATTGTGACTCCTTCTTAAATTAAAGCAGCAGCAGCGTAGAACGTGATTTGGTTTCCAGTGTGCACACACTCACACACACACACTCACACACACACTCACACACACACACTCGCACACACAATCACACACACTCTCAGCCACACTCAGCCACTCTCATGACTCAATTGAAAATCAAGACTCGCAAAAAACTTTGCTGCTCAATTACAATTAAGATGGAGATGTTGCGCACTCAAATTGAATTTTCAGCTGCCGCGGCGTACTTGGGGTATTAGTTCTTGCTGCATGCCGCATGCTGCATGCTACATGCTGCTCTCTCGCTAGTTGTGTGTGTGTTTTTGTGTGCATTTTTAGCGATTTCCGTTTTTACATCGCTTTTATTTTTAGCTTTGATTGCAATCATGGCATCAAATCAGGCAACAACTGCAGCGAGCACACTGTGAATTGGCAAGTGGAAAGTGGGAAGTGGAAGGGCAGTTGCAACACGAAACGGACTCCTGACATGCTGACAGCACTCGTACAAAGTTTGTTTTTCTTGTTTCTTTGCTTGTTGGTCAAAAGTTAATTATCTTAAATGCGTTTTATGTGCACTTTTTGTTATCTACAGCGAGCGTTATCACTGCTTTAGCCCGATCTTGACTTACCCATATTATTTGGATATAATGCTGGCAGTGTGCCATCCTTTTGATATCTGGGCGGCGGCATATCCGCACTCTCCACCAGATACGTCGATGCTGCCTTCTTTCGCGCCTCATCCTGCAAAAATATGAGAGTTATACATTTTTGATTTTCGATTTGAATAATTAATATGATTTAATCAATTTGTGAACTAAATAAAACAATCAGCGAAATGCAGCTCAACAACAACCAACAATTTTCAACTTGAGATCTCCATATCTGAAATTGAAACTGATTTTGGCCTGAAACACTTTTCCGTAATTATTCCGCACTTGAGTCTGTTGTTTTGCGGAGGGCGTTGAAAGTCATTGGCGCATAATTGACAGCCGGCAATGACAGCGACGACATGGACGACACCTTCTCAGTCCGTCCAGCTGTCAGTCTGTCAGTTTGTCGACGGGGGCGGTTGCACGTTGCGTATACGCATTGCTGATTTATAACAGACACCAGCCAGAGTTGAGAGTTGAGATGAGTTGAGTTGAGGGCTTCAACATTGAGCATTAGGCGGCAGTTTTTGTGGTTACTTTGTCGCACAGCAAGATTACGTTGGTAATAAATGATTTTAATAATTTGAAACGATTTGTTTGCCGTTGTCCTTGCCACGAGTTGGTTTTGGTTTTGGACTCGCGCTCATCATTATTAACATCAGCAGTGCGTAATTAATCACGACGTCTTAGCATGCCGCTGCTTCCGGCTGCTTGCTTCAACTGGCATCCAGTTCCGGCGACCTCGATGTCAACAGTCTCTACCCACAACCCAAACTCCATCCGTATCCCCATCCACATCATATTCCCAGCCTCAGTTCGAGTTGCGGCGTTCAGTTGTAATTTCAAGCTACTGGCAATAACTTAAGGCAGCCCATCATTTTTTTGTCTGTTTCTTTTTTTTTTTTCTTTTTTTGGGTGACAACTGGCTTAATGCACGTTGTTTTGCTACCTTCTTTGCCAGCTCCTCGCTGGATAAGGCGACATTTCTCTGTGGGCCCCAAGCTCGTTTACAAATTGCATATTCATGCACACCAAACAAAACCAGCAAAAATAGTTTTGGTTTAAAAAGTGGAACTAAAAACTGAATTCGTTCGTTCGTTTGTACACTCAGCAAAACAAAATTTGTACTGAATTTTAGAAATTCGAATTTTTAGATAGCTCATAAAATTCACTTAACTTAATCGTCTTATTAAATTCGACAACAGACAAACTCTAACAGTCGAGAGAGCATAATAAAACTCTTGTGGAATTCAGAATTAGTAACGATTATTTTATGAATTTCAAAAACTGCAGTTTTTTTTTAAGAATTATGGTTTTGAGTTCTACTTTTTAGAAATGCATTTCTTAATAATAGAAAATATTTCTAAGACATCTAAAGACACCTTTCTAATTCATTTCTATTATTTCTAAAAATAAAGTAGAATTTCTTTTTGTTGAGTGTAGTGTGTGGTTGTGTGTGTGTGTGTGTGTGTGTGTGGTTGTGTGTTTGGTATACTCACAATGTATTCCGGCTGACTGCCCTCATTGGAGTAGGACTCGCTCTTCTCCGACACGCTGGACAGTGTCTCGCCGGTAACGGTGTCATTGTACGAGCTGGGCGCGTACATTTCGATGGTCGCCGTTTTGCCTGGTTGATTTGTAGTTTCCGCCACTGGATGCGACAAACACAGAGAATAAGAGAGGATGCAGAAAGAGAGAGAGAGAGAGAGAGAGAGAGTGATGGAGAGATAGATAGTGGGATGGCAGAGGAAAAAGAAGACAGGTGGGTAGAAAGTATGCGGCGCAAATATTGAAAAGGTGTAATTGGCAGTGACATGCCGAAAATTGATTGGGCGGCAAGCAGGCAAAACGCAGTGCGCCAGTCATTTGGAACACCGCACGGGCGGAGCACCCCAATTGTTGTCGTTGTTGTTGTTATGCCAGAGGCGTAGATGTGGGCGTGTGTGAGAGTGTGTGTGGATGTAAGGGGATGGGTATAGTTTCAGGCAATGCAAATCAAATGCAAATAGGAAAGATTTTCCAAAGTGCACAGCAAGCAAATTTGTTGCCCAGACGGGGGGTGGGTGGGTGAGAGAAGGGGGTGTGGATGTGGGTGTGTGTATGTGTGTGTGTGTGTGTGTGTGTGCATTGTGTTAAATTATTCACATTTGGTGCATTGCCAGCATCGTCATCCATTTTTATGCCGACGCATTTTTTTTGGATTGTTGTTGACGTTGGTCAAGGGTTAAAATCAATGCACGATGTTCAGTTCGGTGATGCGTAGAATTTCATGAGAGAGAAAAACAGAGAGAACGAGAGAGTGAGAGAGAGGGATAGAGTAAAATGCAATTAAATTTTTATATAAAATGCCATTAAATGATTCATGGCACATTTTCACAAATGGCAACGACAAAATGACCGCGCCACATGGTTAACACGTGTTTTCCACAAAGTCAATGTGATGTTTGTATAAAGTGTGTGTGTGCCAAGTGTGTGCGCGAGTGTGTGTGTGTGTGTAAATTTATTGAGTGCATTTGCATCATAAGTTGTTTCCATATTCGCACAAAAGCAGCATCGTGTTGAGTTGTTCAGGTTCAGTTGCAGATTCCATTGGAAAAGAAAATAAAAGTTAAGAAAAACATTGTTATAGATTATTTGTAATATTTTGTTTGAAAATAACTTGAACTATTTTAGTAGCTACGTGTTGTTATTGTTGCTATTTCCTTGGCAGCACTTTTAAAAAATGTTAGTTATTAAAAACTAACATCGAATATAGTCCTCGAGCTTGCAGTTAAAATCATTTGCAGACTTTGTATATGAATTTCAAATTTAAATAGTATTTTTTATTTGAAGGTATAATTAAGCCATTCCAAAATGGATTCCATAGGGTATAACTTAAACATGAAATTCATTCCAATCCGATTTTTTTGGGAAGCATTTTTACAGAATTTCAGCCTAAAATACACATGTTAAAACTGTTGTCAGCCGATGGCTGATATCACTAATCAACAATAAGCTAATTCCATAAGATTCTCAACATAACTAGCATTAATTTCAACAAAGTAATTAAATGTGAATGAATTCAAGAGCAGCGGTCGTCAGTTGTCGAGTTGCCCCAGTCTGTTGTGGACACGTCGTCGCGTATTTAATATGGGCTGTCCGTAAGTAGTAAATAAAATATGTTGCCTCGCAGTAGTTGCACTCACGAATGCTGTGCGAATGCATTCATAGTTTAGTGAATTAAAAGCATATTTTTTACACATTTTATTTTAAAAGTTTTTTTTTATTGCTTTTGTCATATGTCTTATTCACGCTGACACGTGGCAGCAGCCAGCAAAGCCAGAGGAAACGACAACAATAAAAAATTAAAACCGCAATCAACTTTAAAAGGTTAAAATGAATGGTTCTGTCTTCAATATATGTATACACATATATATCAAATTAAAATAGACCCGTCTATATATATATATAAAAAACGCTGCGATTGTCAAAGGTAAACTCGACTTTTCAAACCAATCTGCCAACTGGCCAGTTCTGAGTATAGACTGAATTAAAGATTGGGCTGCCAAGCTTATCACTGTCAAAAACCCACACAGAACTCGTGAATGGAGTGGAGGGGTGGGGGGGGATGGGGGGGGTGGTAAAGGGGAGGGTGGTTGACTGTACCCGACGACAGCGTCCGAGAGGACGCTGTTGCTGCTGCACTTTGTGCCCGAACACAGAGATTACAAATTTTGCACTTATGCCACGACAAAACCCAAAAATCTGGGCAGACAAGCAAACAGACAGCGAGTGAACGGATTTGTTCCGCTTTCCTCCTGCCAATATATATATATATATACATTTATATATGTATATAAGGATCGAGTGGGAGGGGGGGGGGGGGGGGGATCGGCTTAGACAGCTTTTGCGGTCGTCAGTAGAGTTAATGACGTCGCTGCGTTGACGGTTACGTCTGCTTCGAAGCTTTTTCTCTTAATCTCTGGCAAGAAAAAAAAATAACCTGCCAGTTATATTCGGACTTTACTGACTTTTTTGTCAGCAGAATGCACAGTGTGACAAGTGTTTGCCAGAGTCTTCTGTGCTTGCCTTACTTCTCTTGACCTAAACCTAAACGCCAGTTTGCTTTTTGTATATACACTGAACCCATTGAAAAAGGGTATAACGGGTATAATGGTTTTGTGGCAATCTACATAACTGGTAGGAGGAAGCGACTGCAACTCCATGAGGCATATATATAAAATACATTATCATATTGATCTTAGTTTCTTTTTACTCTTCACTAACTGTGCCTGCCATAAGAAATGAGAGTACTTCCTAGCATGCTTACATTACACAAAATCTAGAATATAATATTGAATATTTACCAGTTGGGAGAGAAGACAAGTTTGACAATAAAACTAGATTTATGTTTAATATTTAACAGCTGGTTTACGGGGTATATCGAAGTGGAGCTCATTCGACTACAGCATTCCTACTTGTTTAGTTCACAAATTGTGAGAATATTGATCAACTCAAAAGCATATAGCCATATATAGAAGCATGTGAGAAGACAATTTTTAAGCATTCAATTTGGGATAGCAAACCTCAGCAGCAAACTTTTTAACTTTTGGACATTGGCAACGGCGTCAATGACAGCCTGTGTCTGTATTTATATATATATATATATATATGTGTGTGTGTGTGTGTGTGTGTATGTGCTTATCTCAATAGATTCGATGGCCAGAGCCAGTGTCAGAGCCAGAGTCCGAGTTGAGTAGTCAATTGTTTAAGGAGTGTTAAAGTCAAGTGATTTTCGTTTGTTTTCTCGCTATCTCGCTTATGGCTTGTGGCAACGTTGGCATAAAACTTTTGCCTGGTCTGGCAACCCCCCACCCTACACTATCCACACTAGTTTGTGTGTGTGTGTTTCTGTGTCGCTGTTAAATTTTATTTTTAATTTAATTTAATATATTCGTTATGTCGACTAATTTTAGTTGACATGAAAAAGAAATAATAAATTAAATTAAGTATTTGCTAAATAGCCATTTTAATATTTCATATTGGCAAAAAAAAGTAATGCCCAAAAACTAATTGAATGAAAAGTCAAGGTTTTTTTTTTAGCTCACTTCATATCTGAAAAGGCGGTAATCATTAGAAATGATAAATGTATATATGTGGCAGCCAACCAATGTCCAGCCGAGGTCAATGACCAAGGGGAGGGAACAGCCGAAAAGTTGAAGCGCCAACCACAGTGGACTTTTGGCATAGTTTATCGGTCAACTGAAATGGCGAAAGCTTCTTAGACATGTCCGCTGCGGCACACAGCTGGGATGATTTCCGTCTCTTTTTTGGGGGTGATGAACTGGGACTGGGACTGATGCTGAGGCTGAGGGTGATTTTCATTTCCGTGTTGCGGCATTTTGACACAAAAGCACAAATGCACATTAAAAATGCATATCCAAGGGTCCAAAACACAACAGTAACAGTAACAGTAACAGCAACAGCAACTAACAAGCAAGCAGCCCACAAGTCAAGTTTCTAGCTAGCGAAAGCATTGAAATATGCACAGATAACTCTCCGGGCCCAAAGCTGTCCGCCAGTCTCAATTTCCCGCCAAGTTCCCTCTTTCCTCCCTTGCCCCTTCCCTATTCCATATTCTCTTCCGGTTCGCACTCTTGTCCACCCACTCGGGGGCTTTTAGCAAACGCTGTCATTCTGGCCAACGCACCAGTTTCCCTGACAACTCCTTTATGGCAAAAAAAAAAAAAAAGAAACGGGGAAAAATGCTTTTGGGCATTGTCAGTTATCAGCTTATGGAAGCGGCAGCAAAAGCTAGCCGAACATTGTCATAAAAAATATTTTTTGGGCAAGACAGTTCTCTTTTTAACAATTTTTTTTCCTCTTTTGGCTGGCAGCCTTCTGGCTCGCTTAATAGTTTTTTATTTTTTGGTTTGTAACAAGCGGCTGTTAAGACTGAAATATGCATTTCTTTTGTCGCACTTGAGTGGGAGGAGGGATAGAGGGAGATGGAGAGGGGGGAGTCCGAATTTGTTTGGGGTTCTTGCATCTCATATTCAAACGCGTCATTTGTTCAAATACAACTGCTGCGTGCAACTGGAAATAGAGGATAGAAATGACCAAGTGCTTTTATACCCATACTAATACCGATTCCCGCTCATCCCGTATAATAAAGTAAACTGAATTCTAAGAAAAATATATTATTTTTGTCCTGCGGCTGTGTCCTGTTCATGCTTCGCTAGTAGAGAGAAGTGCCTCGTTTCTCGCTTCGCGCTTAACGCTCATAATGTCAAAAATCTTGGCCCACATTTCACAGACAGACTCCGACACAGGCATTGAGAATGGAGGATGCGGACAAAAGCGCCAACTGCAGATCCTTGCTGTTGCAACAGGGAGCTTTTTCAACGAGTCGAACTTCATTAAATGAAATACAAACACAGACAAACAGAGCAAGACAGAGAGAGAGAGAGAGAGTGAGAGAGAGAGAGAGAGAGAGAGAGCGAGGTATAATGTTATACCGTGCTCCGGCAAATTTGCTTATCTGTTGTGCAACAAATTTCATTATATTTATACAAGTGACGGGTACACTCAGGAAAAAGATTGAACTAAGTTTTAGAAAATATATGTCTACCTCTCAAGAAGGTTTTCTTAAAGATTTCGCATATACTTAATTAGTTTCACATATAATACTTCATTTCATCTGATTCACTTGTAATTGTCCTCAAATTCTTATAAAAGTCGAGTCATTAAATTTCATTACTTCTTTCTGAATTTTAGAATGGATTTTTTTCGGAATCGGGGTCTGCATATTTGCTGTTTAGAAATGCATTTCTAAATAATAGAAAATATTTTTAGAGTTTGGGAAAAGCACTATATTTTTCGGATTGTCAGGTCTTTTTAATTTTAAGAATAAAAAGTTCTCTTATGTTTGAAAATTACTTCCAAAAACTAGAAAAACTTTCTAGTTTTCAGGGCGACGTTCTTTTTCGGAGTGTAGCTAAAAGTAATTCACGCGTGCTGCTTTTTTCCAACTTTATATGGTATGCAAAGCGAACCATTAAGCCGTCAAAAGTTGAACTGTCAGATAAGTTAAGCGACTTATAAGTCAAACACTGCCCGTGTGTATAAGAGCATGCATTATAACTGCAAATATGCAACGGAGCGTATACGTAATATGCACAAGTATCTCTGTACGAACTATGGCCAAGGACAGCTTGTAGTAGAAATCCCAGATTCGTGATTCCTGACTGCAGTTGCACTTTCTTTGACTCACGTACAAATGCGTATGCATCATTTTGGTACGTTTGCATTTGGGCAAAGTCTGATTGAGAAAATGGTGCTCGTTCTGTTTCCGGTTGAGGTTGCGTGGCGTGTTAAACCACTAAATTTGGCTCAATGAAAAATAATTTGGTAAGCGCATGGCTTGGCCAAGAATTTTTATATGCCCTGTCATTTGGAAGTTTGGTTTTGGCTTCTTGCGACCTGACTTGCCAAGAAATGTTGGCAATTTTCTATAGGTCGATTGGGTTGGCTTGTGCAGGATTGCTCATATTTATATATATTTCGTTCGCTTGGCCTGTTGAGATATAATTCCCATATTAATAAACAATACGTAGCTACAGCTGCAAATTGAAGCGGACAGCACGTGTCCGATGCTCCATTTTCTAGTCGAGTTTCTGTCTGTCTGTCCATTGTACTGTCTCGGTCTGTCTGTCCGTGGTCTGGCAGCAGCAATCTGATTTCCGTAAGATTGTGCGTTCAGCTAAGAAAACGATGCACATTTGTCTTCGGCCAATGGCCAAAGTGTGGCAAACTGGATGGGGTGTATGGCATGTGGCAAGGGGTGCCTGTTTGCCTGCTTGCCTGCCTGCCTGCCTGCTTGGCAACGTCGTTGTTCAATAAACAGTTGCACTTGGCATGGCCTGCGGGTCGTCCTTGCTGCTGACTGCTGTCCGTTGCCAGGATGCATCATTATTTTCTGTCATCATTATATTCTTGTTGACTGCTTTGAGCGCTGTGCTTTTATTTCTCGATTCGTTTATATTTTTGCCTTTTTGCTTATCGCCTTTTGCCTTTTTGCTTTTGGTGTTTCCTTGCCACGTTCTCCGTGTCTGTGTCAGGTCTGCTCGCGGAAATTACAAGAAGCGCATATTGCGCATATACGATATATATCCAGACAGATAAATATATATGTATATATATTCCTTGTTAGCCATGAACTTTAGCCCCACCTTTGTGCGCACATAGAAATATATATTCGTGTATCTATCATCTATGTATATGCAGGAAATTGTTTAGTGAGCAGCATAAAGTGAGCAGCGATGTCGGCGTCGACGTCGACGTCTCTGTCCACTGAGAGAAATAGGAAGTTGCACAACGCGCTTACTTCCTGTTGAGTTGGCGGAAGTGGTGCGAACGCCGCCAAGTGCCAGCCAAAGATAATGCCAGGGATAAGAGTTTTCACTGAACTTAAATCCAAATGCAAATTGGCCAAAGCTTAATGCCAAAGAAACAACGGAAAATCCCCTATAGACCCAAGAAGCGAACATAACAACTTATAATTCACCACAGAAACCCAAGCATCGAACGTAATATTTAAGGCATGTTAAATAATAATAACAATACTATTAAGTAGTAATTGTTTGAAGAAACAACTGAGACTTCCTCACAAACCCAAGAATCGAACATAATATGTCAGGTATGTTAAATAATAATACTAAGCTGGAAATTTATGGAAAAACAACTAAGATTCGCCTACCAACAACTCAAGAATCGAACGAAATATTTCGGATATTTTAAATAAGAATAATAATGAAAATAATAAGCTATAAATGTGAGATTCCCCAACAATCCCAGGAATCGAACGTAATAACAATAAACAGTAAAAGTATGGAGACAGAGCAAAGAAACCCCACAGAAACTTTTATTTAAGGTATGTTAAAAGATAATAATAATAAAAATAATAAGTAATGATTGAATGTGTGTCAACGAACCTTTTTTGCGTCGCTGATGCACAAAGAACCAAGCAACGAGCGCCGCATTGACCAAAAGGAATCCGAATGCCGCCAGAGAGATGGCAATTATGACCAGATTCGGTGTATTTGTGGAGTCCTCCGTTAACTCGGTTGGCATCAGTTCAACTCCTGTTTCCAGCCGATGACGACGATGTCGCAAATAAAGTCCAAAATAAAGCAAGCCAAACGAATCGAATCGAAACGAGAACGAGAATGAAAATAAAAATAAAACAGGAAAATATGCTTGCAAAAATAAAATAATAAATAAATACGAAACGAAATGAGAAACTCCAATAAATATAAAAATGACGCAGACGCATCGGGGACCAAATGGGTAGCAAAAAGGGGCGTGGATAGTATTCTGTTTGTGTGTGTGTCCGTGTCCGGGTAAGGAATGCAAAAGTGACGCAAATCACGTAGAGACTACGGAACGACTCACAATGGCAACTGTGGCTGTGGATGCCTCAACTTGTGGCATAGAGTAAATGAAATTAGCGCCGCGCCTGATGTTGACCGGAGCACGAAACGTGCCACAAGGGGCAAAACTGGCGGCGTTTAAAATGCAAATTACATGAAATGCTGGAATGCTGAAATGCTGCGGCAATAGATGAATAGCAACAATAACAATAACAAGTGCAACAACTACTACTAGCAGTAGCGGTACCTCGCTTCAGACGCTTCTCGTTGCGCTTGTGCAGGCAGCAGCCGATGACAAAGATATTGAGCAGCACAACCGTTATGCCAGCTGCCACGCCCACTAGCAGCATACCCGAGGTGCCGCCTAACGGCGTTTGGCTGGTAGTCGGTGGTCCGCCACCCAATGATGAAGCGGGCTGCGATGGCGGTGGCGCCTCTGTGTGTGTTGTATATCCAATTCCAATTAGGCGGGCAGCAGAAGATAAAGTTAGAGTGAGAGAGGAGAGATCATTGAGCAAAGCAGTTAGCTATTCAGCTGTGACAGTCTCGCATTCAATATCTAGCTGATGTGGGAGTAATAATAGGAGCAGGAGTACAACGGCTGTTGTCCATAAATGCCACATAAATCAATGGGACAGACCCGTCGGCTAACCAACAGACCCCTCGGCAGTCCGACAGACCCGTCAAGCAACCGTTAGAATTCCACGCAGCCTGACAGATCCATGGGCAGTTCGAGAGACCCGCTCAGCTGCCATGCTAGCTAATTTGAATATTTTGCGCGGATGCTCGTTGCTTACCTTTGGTCTGGGCACGCGTCAAATCCGGCAGGTAGGAGCTCTGTCCCAAATCATTCCATGACATGACCGAAAACAGATATAGAGTATTCATACGCAGGCCGGGGATGGTAAGCTTGTGACTGTTGGCAAGTCCATCAATGTATTTGTACTGCTCGCGGTCAACCATGCTGCAACGAGACAGATATGCCACACATGAGAACGATTGGGACGTGCAACGAGTTGTGGCAGGGGGTGGGTAGATAGGTAGGCAGTGGTGCTGCCACATCCTTCTGGCTGAGCTGGCAATTTCATTAGTGCCCGTGACATTTGCCGTAATTGCAATGGAATGAACTTGAGCATGCAAATGGGGTTGGCATTGTGGATTGGGGTTGGGTTTACGTACCGATATCGCACACGGTAAGACGCCTTTAAACCGCCATCGAAACCGGGAGTCCAAGCGACAGTCACCGTATCGTGGGTGACATTCAGTATGTTGAGACTGAGCGGTGGTTCTGGGGGCGATGTTATATCCAATCGCACCGTTTCCACATCCTCGCCGAGTTCGTTGCGTGCGATACACTCGTAGGCACCGTAATCGGCAGGCGCCACTTTCTCGACAATCAGCGTCGACTCGTAGGTGAGGGAGTCGATCTTGCGCTCCTCCACTTCGTATTTGGACGTACGATTGATGGGCAGCTCCTTCTGCTCTTGACGCCAAATAAATTGCGGCCTCGGCGATGCCTGTGCCCGGCAAGGCAACCGTCCGCGTTCCCCGGTGCCACTTGCTGCACGCAGCAACGTAGGCGACTTGGTAATCTCGGGTGCAACTGTGCCACAGATTGGAGATTAGGCATATAATCGGTGGGAAGTTTTGGCGTTTTTGACTTACATTTAACAATGAGGAGTACGTCGCGATTGGTGGGATTCGCGACATGATTGTCGGCCACACATCGGAAATTGCCGACATCTTCGCGCTGGGCGTTCTTAATGTGCAAATAGGCAGTTCCATTTGTGAAGGTCGTTGTGGTCTTGTCCTTCATCTCGTAGCCGACCCGCTCCCATTTGACATGATCGTGTTCGAGGGGTTTGCCTTCGACGCTGCACGAGAGCATTGCATCCTCGCCGGGACTGACAATGATATTCTCCGACACGGACTTGATGGTGGTGCCATCTTGGAGGGAGAGGTAGCTTACGATAGATTCGAATCGCATGTAAACCTTCATTTGATCTACTCACATTCGACGACAACTGTTATGTTGATGCTGGCCTTGCCCTGTGAATTGCTGGCGGTGCAGGAATAGATGCCAGAATCTTCGCGATGCAGCTTGGTAAAGTTGAGTACGGCACCATCGGCAAAGATGCGATGCTCGCCAGGGTTATCCTGTGGTATAACCGCACCGTTCTTTATCCACGTGTAGTTGATTAGCTCCGGATTCGCATTCGCCTGCAGCGGCACCTGCAGCGATTCACCCTCCAAGCCCACCGAGGTCGTCGACGGGGGCGGTACAAACTTGGGCCCAACTGAGATTGAGGAAAAATGGGATAAAAAAAAGGAAATGGCAGATACAGTTGTGGTCAAAATAATAGCACTACTACAATGTTATTTGTTACGTATGAAACAATAATATATTCAGTTTTGCTATTTTTTTAGTATTCCCCCTCTAAACAAATTCTCTTCAATATTTAATTTATGTTTTGATTTGAAAAAAGTGCCAAAAAGTAGCGAAAAAAATAATAGCATTACTTATGCATTTTTTATAGAAATCGTTTTTTCATAATTATTTTCATAATTATTAAAGCACGTTTTTAAAATGCTGATTCAATATTCTCATTCATTTTTTTTCTTTTTCATAAATATTTAATTTTTAATTTTAGCTTCAATTAAATTTAAATTATAGTTTTTTTCCTTCTCACTTTTTTATGAGTATTCTAAAAACGTATTCATGGGTTCCTTTGAACAGATTTGTTGTTAGAGTGGTGCTACTATTTTTTCTGTAATTGAAATTGCAATTTCAATTCAAATTTAAATTAAGAATTGTGACTAGGTCTAATTGCTCAATTAGAAGCCAGACGACGACAGATGAAGAGTAGAGAAGTGGATGAGCTGACTACTTACACAGGACATTGAGGCTAGTTGCCTCGTGGACGCTGCGCTGCAGTGCCTCGTTGGCGCTTTGGCAAGTGTAGACGACACCGTTCATTTCCTGGCTGATGTTTAGCCTGAACTCGAGCGTGGACACGGTGCCACCCCACAGACCTGGCTTCGACGTATTATTAATGCCTGCAATTGAGAGGGAGAGACAGAGAGAGAGAAAGAGAGAGAAATTAGTATGGGCGTTATATTATTTTAGTGAACTGGACGTTGGCTGACTTGGCTGGCAAGCAAACCAAGTCAAAGCCGGATGTTGTCGTGGCAACGCCTTTAAAAAATGCAGCGACTGTGGAGAAAATGGCGCCGCCAAGTCCATGTCTATTGCCGGCTGCATGGGCAAAGTTCCAATTCTATTGGCGCTTACGTACCTTCAATGGATATGCCATCCTTCCACCAGGACAGCTTTGCCGGCGGATTGCTTGAGCTCGAGTCGCAAATGATGGTTGCCTCTGTGCCAGGTCTCAGCTCTTCCGGTTCAATGCGTATTTTTACCGTCTCTGGCGCAACTGTAAGCAGTAGACACACACACATACAACAACAACAACAACCACAGTAAAAACTCGTACAACTACTCACAGTGCACACTGAGCGTGGTGGACTCGAAGAGTGGAATTTCGGTGGCACTGTTCGAGGCCTCGCAACGATATTGCGCCTGATTGTCGGTCACATTGGCCAGTATCGTTATTTCAGCTGAAACCGACCTGTCAGCAGTTCGAATGACAGAGTTAATCTGGAAAGGAGGTGCACAACATATATACATAATAATATACACATCTCTATGATAAATGCATCAAACAACAAACCAATTTTGGTTTGTCAAAAATGTACTCAGCTAGTTCTATTGAGCAGGAATGAATATTCTTTATACGGCCGATCGGAGTAGTATTTTTCAATACCTTTGAAAAGCACATAACAAGAAAGAAGTCTAAATACCCGTACAACTATTTCTATTTTTACTTTTGTCAGATATTCTAATTCATTCTTACTGGAAAATAATAAAGTACTCTTTGCAGCTATATAATAAATTGCACCTGATCAAGTTGTCTGCTTTAATGCGTTACACATTTCAACAGTATTATATAGTGCTCGGCAAAGGCATAACACACAAGGTGTGCGACAACAACAACAACTGCTGGCAATATGTTGCATATATGCAAAGAGACTCAGGCAACAGCAGCCAACAGGCAACAGCCAACAGCCAGCAGCCAGCAGCAGCTGGAGCCAGGAGCACAAAACACAGCGCATTTTAATTTTGTTGATAAAATATCATTTAATCTGCGCACACAGATGAGCACCCCCCGCCCCCACAGAGGCTGAAGGGAGTGGATGAGGCGGCTGGGATAGATAACAACCGCAAGCGGCGATAAAGTGGAGAATTTGCTTGGGGTGTGGAGAACTTGGCGTGTGGCGGTTGTTTGTTTGCTGTTTCCGCTTCTGTGACAGCAACCAGCAGCAGCCTTGGACACTTGGCATTTGTTGTATATCAAGCAAACCAGCTGCTGCAACGGGAAGCAACGGAAGGCAGCACCCATAAGTATGCAACAGCAACAGTGGCAGCAACAGCAACAAGAACAGTTGAGCAACTGTGGCCACCACTTCCGCTGATGGCATTTGGCTGATGGCGAATCGAGGCAAAGATTAAATTTGTATTTCAGCCACTGAGACAATTGCCAGATACAGCCCAGATAGCCATAGCCAGATAAGCAGATAGCCTCATCAAGCAAACAGGTGCAAAGCCGAAAGAAGTAGAACACTATCTACACTGAGGAAAAAAACGAACTGAGAGGATAGAAAGATTTTCTGAATGAATTTATGAATTTATCAACTATCTAACTATCTAAACTATATAAAATGTTGTATATTGGAAATCATAAAATACAAATGTTAATTAATTATTTAAGCAGCAATAAAGCTCATGTTAACGTATGGGAAAAAAAACTCCCTGCAAATTAGACATATTTTGTAAAATATATTTTAGACAATATGGGTTGTTGCCCTTGGTGAATTTCTAAAATGCAGGTTGCTTATTTTTCTCGAGTGTATAGATGCAAGTGTGTCCTGCCAGATACAGCGAAGCCGGTCGGGACGAACTGCCTTATTAGCACTTTAAGCCCATAAACCGGAAGCGGAAATGGTCAACAAAAGGGCCATTATTGTTCTGTGCATGTTTGTTGTCTGCTGTTGATAGCATTACGTTCCGACTGTCGGTCCGTCTGTCGCTCCGTCTGCCTATCTGTCTCTGTGTGTGCTTTACATTTACATTTTACTTCTGTTTTTCTTTTTTTTGTCAGTGTGCTGCATATCGTTTAGTTTAGTGCGCTGCAAATGCAGCAAAATGTTGTGCAAAAACCGAAGAAAAAAACTCACCCGCTTGTCGTTTTTATACCACGTTAACGTTGCCAGCGGATTGCCGCCCGATGAGACACAGAGCAGTTTTTGCACCGACCCAGCTGGTATAATTTGTCCTTCTATATAGCCCGAAATTAATGGCGGCGCGGGCGGATCTGCGAATAGATAGACAGAAAAACGTGTTCAGCGTCAGCACATACCATAAAACGACCTCAAAAAAAAGCAAAAACAAAAACAAAAGGAAAAGGAAAAGAAACCAAAAAGAAAAACACTGTTGGGCCAAAAACTTAGCCACGAGCCAGCCAACAAATTATGGCCTACTAGGACCAACCGCTGTGATGTCGAGTCGAGAGTCGAGTCGAGTCGAGTCGAGTCGCTGGCCAAACAATAAAAATTAAAATTATTTAATTTGCCGCGCATAAAGTAAATGTAAAGTATTTGGAGGGTGGCAGCCCCCTTGGGGCTATCCATATAAGACACACTTACACACACACACACACACACAGAGCGGCCTTGAACATTCTATTTCTAAATGCGCTGCTACTGCTGCGAAAGAATGGCCCAAAGAATTCTCTTTTTGGCCAAAACTGGCAAACTGGCAAGCTGGCCAGCTGCAGTGTGTCAGCACAAAGCAGCCCCTGTCATTTGCCCATAATATGAAAATGGGTTGGGTTTTTACAGAGTGGCGCTGTGGGTGGGTGGGTAGGGGGTGGAGATACGCTCATTACCCCGAGGCGCTTGTGCAGTATGGGTAATAAATGTAAATCTCACAGTCGGCTTTCGCTTTTGGGCAACGCTGCTTGTGTTTTCTGTGGATGCTGGTCAGAAAAATTAATTAGCGCTGCAGGAGTGCACAAAAGGGACGCGTGGACAACGGCGAAAAAGGCAACCAAACAGCAGGGCCTTCAAGTGCTCTCTATTGTCTTGTGGTTTCTATCGGAGAGCAACTTGCAGTACTTCTAATTGAGGTAAATGAAGAGTGACGTCGAACATGTGAGCATAATGGAGTTGAAGACACCTGCGTCTGCTACGTGGCAAACAGAGATGACAAGCTGGACACATCGATTCAGCTACGAATTGTGTGTGCGTGTTTTAGTTTTATTTTTATTTTTTGACATTTATTTGGCAGTCGACCAAAGAAAGCACAGATGAACAATTTTATTGACATACTTGAAATTTGGTAAACTGACAAATGGGAAATTTGTTGAACACCCAGAAATACAACGAAAAGAATTTATAGCACGCCGCAGCTGGTGAAGATGATGCTGCGACTGAGTTTGCCATTTTTGGTGCCATAGCTCTGCAGGCAATCGAGTATCCTGCGGCCTTTGACCACATGGCCGAAACCAACCCGTGAGCCGTTCACAACAGACAACGGCCTGAACGAGATGGAGAAGGACATGTGGTGGCGAAAGCCCTGCAAGTGATCCTTGCTAAACGAGAGCACATAACTGGACGCGCCATGATCAACGATCTTGGCATCGTACTCCAGAGGCTGATGCAGTTCAACACTGCCATTATCCTGCAGTGTCACATCAAGCCAAAGATTGGGAAAGAGTCGTCGAATCAGAAATTTCTTGTGCATATCACAGAGGCAACAGCGCATTAAGTGCAGCACCACCAGCGGAGCCGCCTCCGTGCACAGCTCGACAACGATGCGGCCGAGTGCGCGCGCATCCCTCATATGGATGTCAAAGTAGATGTGCGGTCGCAGCAGACGCCAGCGTTGCTTGTCCGTCGTTGGCAACGTGATATGATAATCCTTGTACTTGGCCAGACCCTTGTCGGGCATAATAAAGGGTTTATCGAACTGTTGGCTGCACTTTGGCGTGCTTTTAAGCCTCGTCCCCAGGCCGGTGTCCACCTCACTGACCACATCCAACAGACGTTTGACCATATCCCTGTTCTCCTGATCGATTCGCTGCAGATTCTTAAGGATCATCGGTATCGAGGACGCGGTAATGACACGCTCGTAGCGGAATGGTTCGATGGCACCATGGGTTCGCATCAGCTTCGACAGGTCGATCAGCATCTGAATATTCTTCGTGGTCCGCTCCATGTACGATATGGCATTCTGATGCAATCCAGACACCCCAGTTACGAGGGATGCATGCAAATGGGGTGGATTCGTATCCAGCTTAGTCTTCATGGTCAACACTCGATGGCGATGGTCCTGATACAAATTGGCTTGTTTCGAAAATGGATTCTTCTTTTTTTTGGACAATTTCATTATCTCAATCTTTGGCTTGGACACATCATTAAATTGCAGCTCTGGTTCTGATTTGGCTTCAGCGCACATTGGCGATACACATTGGGGAAGCCGCCTCATAGCATTGATACCAAGGCACCAAATTATACACGATAAATTTAAAAAGAACAAAATACAGACTTACAACTTTTCTGTAAAACACAAAATTAAATGAGGAAAGAAAACATAGTCAAATCGGGTGATTGACAACTTTTGCTTTAATTGGAATTTAGTTTTTAACTAAGTGAATATTAAAGAACGCCGCAACTGGTGAAGAGAATGCCACGACTGAGTGTGCCATTCTTGGTGCCGTAGCTCTGCAGGCACTCGAGGATCTTGCCACCCTTGACGACATGACCGAAACCAACGCGAGAACCATTCACCACACTGAGGGGCTTAAAGGAGACCGAGAAGAACATGTTGTCACGGAAACCCTGCAGGTGATCCTTGCTAAAGGAGAGCACATAGTCGTAGGCACCATGGTCGATGATCTTGCCATCGTATTCCAGGCGCCGATGCAACGGTGATTCATGTTCTATGGGCAACTCGACGTCCAGCCAGAGGCCAGGAAAGAGTCGCTTGATCAGGAACTTATTGTGCATGTTGCACATGCAACAGCGTACCAAATGGAGCACCACCAGCGGTGCCGCCTCAGTGTACAGCTGCACGACAAAACGGCCAAGCGGCCGTGTATCCTTCAGATAGATGTCAAAGTAGATGCGCGGACGGAAAAGTTGCCAGCGCTCTTTGTCCGTGGTGGGCAAGTTGAGATGGAACGCTTTGTATTTGGCCAACGCCTGGTTGGGCATCGTAAATGGTTGAGTTTGCACTTGATCATCGCCTTTGGCATCTGGCCTTAGACCGGAATCCACTTCGCTAACCACATCTCGGATGCGTCTGCCTAGATCTCTATTATCCCGTTCCATGCGCTCCAAATTGCCAATGATGCCTGGCACGGCGGACATGACAAACGGTGCCTCGTAGCGGAAGGGATTGATGACGCCATGGGTGCGCATTGTCTGCGTGAGACCCACCAGCATCTGGATATTATCCCGGGTGCGTTGCATAAATGTGTCCGCATTCTCGCGCAACACATTCACGCCGGTCAGACGCACTGCCTGAAAGGTGGGCGGAGATCTGTCCAACTCACTGACAACGTTCAGCATGCGTTGGCGATGTTCGCGCCACATCAGCAGACGATTCGCCTCCAATGGGGGCAAATTCTTCAACGTTTCCCTTCGTTGCTTCCGCTTCATCTTCAGTGTAAGCTTCTTGCGTGGCAACTTCGCCAGGGACACAGAGGACGTATGAGATTTTTGACCGGAGACCGAATGAGGCACCGCCTCGAAGGAATCGTTGGAAATACATTGCGGAATTTCGTACATATTTAGAAAATGTATAATGCAGCAATAATAAGCCAAATATAAATATACAGCTTTTGAATGAAAATTTTTGAGTTCTGATAGCAACAACAAATTGATTGTAAATGTCACAAAGTAATCAGATGTAAGTCAAATTAAATTAGGGTTATTTTCTAGGAGGTGTCGACTAATCTATCGATTATTGCTATCGACTAATAATCAGATTGAATATGCAGTTTTCGAAAGGGAATTTTTGAGTTTGAAAACCAGTCAGAAATGTAGTCAGAACTCTATAAAGGAATTATCAACTTGAGGCTCGTCACGGTTGATTTTTAAAAATAAATACATAAATGTTAAAATAAATAAATAATAAATTTAATGCTTTTCGTACTCACATAGCACATTGATCGTGTGTGTGGCAACAACATTTTCCGTTAGTTGCATGTTGAGGCCATGACAGATGACAACCAAGGAACGCTTATTCGGCTCCACGGTAGTGGTGAAATTCGAGGTGGTTATGGAGCCGCCTGAAATGCCAAATCGCATAGATGATATATGAATTTATATTTATTCATACATATATATATATAAATTTATATAAAAGAAAGTTCAGACTCACCTTCGGGGCTGACTGTCGTCTTGGTGGTGGCATTGCGTATTTGACGACCACCCACCATCCACTTGATCTCTGCGGGCGGATTCGAGGGCGCCGTGGCACACATCAGTGGCACCACATCGCCGACGCGCGCCTCCGTCGGTCCCGTCACTGTCACTTGCGAAGGTGCGACTGTTGAGTTAGCAGTTAGGGGTAGAAAAATACAGTTAAATTGGAGCCGAGTAATTTTGCTGAGCATTAATATTTAATAAGCCATGCTCTGCATCACTTGTGGCATGCCGCACACACACACACACACATCTGCTGCTGCTTCTGCTGCTGCTGCTGCTGCGTATCGCTCATTCTGTCTCCAACAACTAATGCTGACTAACTGACTACCTGACTGAGTGGCTAGACTGAGTACACTCAGCGAAAAGATCGCACTGAAGTTTAGAAAACTGTTCCGAAAACTAAAAGGTTTTTCTCCAGATTCTCAAAAATATACTTTCTGAATAATAAGCTGAGTTATACGCTTGGTGCCAAAAGTATGGCGAATTTCTTAAATTCAAGTCGATATGGTTTTTTGCTGAGTGTTGTGTAGCCTGCATACAAATGATGACTGAATGAATGACTGAGTGACAGGCGTCTGTTCCCGTTGCCGAGCTATTACCTAATGCCAGCAAGAAGCAGAAGCATGAGCAGAAGCTGCAGCTGCCTTCCTTCCATTTGGTTTGATGGATAAGTGCAGGCAGTAACTGAAGCTGATGCTGATGCTGACGCTGTAACCAGAGGAACAGCAGCTGTGCATAGATATTACGCATACGCCATGTATGTTAGCTGGGCATATGCAAAAAAACGGGGAGGGAAGTATTACAAAAGTTCGACTCGATATGTTTCGCATATAAATAAACATTATGAATTCTTAACTTCTCGCATCGCATCGCAAATCGCCATACATCTTCATTCCGCTCACACATGCACACACGCAAAGGGGGTGTGTGTGTGTGGCAGTCAATGTATTCCAGCTACGTCTTCATTTTTGTGTGTGCCACATTTCGTTATACATAAATAATGCGTGCTGCTCGAAACGAGCGCAGCTGTGTACGTGTGTGTGTGTGTATGTGTGTTGCACACTCAAAGTGGCATATTTTTCGGGGCAACCAGGTAAACAAGGCAAACAAAAGCTAGCCAGCTAGTCGCATGTAAGTGCTGGCAAAACAAGAGCCAGTTTGATTGGTATTCGTCCATCAGCTGGACAAGTTGCACGTGCCACGTGTCCCCACAATTGGAATTAGCCAAGTCGACTCGAGTTGAGTTGGTCAGAGTCGACTTTTGGGTCATAGCCTTTCATTACTCATTCACCCCGCAAAACAAAAATGGAACTGCATTTTAGAAAGCCGATTTGAAAGCTAGAAAGTTTTATATTTTTTATAAAAAATGCATTTCTATAAGAAAATAATTTTCTAAAAATTTAGAAAGGCTTGTCCCAAAATATTTTCTTTTGTTTTTTGAAATATGCATTTCCAAAAAGTAGGAATACAAAACTTGATTATCATAAAATGTCTTATCTGTAATTCAGAATATATCAGTAGGCTATCGAAGCTCGAATACCCATAAAACATAGGTTTTTTAAGATGATGTTATATGAATTTATTACTAATATTTAGTAATAATAATTTAGTTTAAGAAAAATAAAATTGTATGAAATACAAAATGTGGTTTTTGGAAAGTTAAACCTTCAAAATTGACACTTTAAATTTCTTATGACCTTTTTCTGAGTGTATGCTGCAGGCAGCAGTTAGCAGTTAGCAGATAGCAGTTAGCAATTAGCAGGCAAGACATTGCTAAATAGCGACAATTCCCAGAGTGGCGGCGGTCGTCACTCGCCACTCCAAATTTGAATATCACGCATACGCAGCGTGCCCTCAAGTCGCCAATTTGCATGCTAGACACAGGCACACACATACACACACAGACAAGAAGAAGGAGAGGGCAGGGGCATGCAACAAAAGTGAATGCAAATTCCGTCAACGCGACTCGACTTCCTTTTTAAAACTGCAACTGCAACGCCTGCTAACTGAGCCCGGGCCCTGATTGCAATTCTCGTAGCAGAGAAAAGGAGAGCGAGTGGGGAACAGACACAGAGAGTGTGGACCTAAGGGAGGTAAGGTGTTGAGGGCGTGGGCGTTTGGGGGTAGCCAACACTTTTTGGCACTTGAAAAGAATTTGCATTGCTTGATTTGACAAAGCCAAGTGGAAGTTGCAAGCAGTGGATTGAAGGCTGAGTTTTAGAGTGCAAGCTTAAGCTTAATTGCAAAAGAAAGCAACAGCCTCAGTGAAAGAGAGAGAGAGACATAGATGGTGAAAGAGATAGAGATCGAGGGAGAGGGAGAGGGAGGCAGCCAAAGCGTTATCAGGCTTATTTTCGCTTTGTGTCGCGTGCCAAGTGGCAGAAAAGAACGACTGTTGACACAAACCAGCTCGCATACGAAGTGTGTGTGTGGATGTGTGTGTGGTGAGTGTGTGTGTGTGTGTGTGTGCAAGAGTGTGCAAATATGAAAATTAACGAAATACAATTAGGCAAACATGCAAAGGACTCGCTGGAGTGTTAGGCTGCCAGGCAAATTGCCCCCGTCTGCATAACGAGCACTCTCCCACCCTCCCTCCATCCCTTTCTGTCCCCCTCTCTCAGCCCCTCTGTCTCTGGCCAGCAGACAGTCCAAATTATCTGGTTGCAGTTGCATGCACAGCATATGCAAGACTCCAAGTGCCAGCAGCATTGGGCAGGCAGCAAGCATTCTCACTTTGATGATGAGATGCAAATGGAGGATGGGGGTTGGTTGTTCAGGGGTTGTGGCAGTGGTTATATTGCACTTACATAGTACAGTCAAATCGACTTCCGCCTTGAGCGGCGTCTGGGACATCACATTGCTTGCCTCGCACCGGAAACGAGCCTTGTTGTCGCCCGCCTCCGCGGTGAACGTGTAAATGTTTTCCGACAGGCGGCCAGCGGTCCTGTAAAATGCATAGAATGGATTTATAACTTAAGCTGATATATAATATATACTATATGTACAGATATGGTCAAAATAATAGTGCTGCTTTATGAAATCAATAACACTCAATGTTTTCATAGCCCATTTTATAGTCCTGCAAATTTTATTGCAGCGAAGGGATTATGAAAGGCCCTATAAAAACATTGAGAATAATCAGCACTATTATTATTATTATCGCAAATGTGTATTGTATTTATATATATCTATATTATTTACCTGTAGGCCATGCGTATCTGGGAGTTGTTCTTGTACCAGATGAGCTGTGCCGGTGGATTGCCACCGTGACTGCGACAACTCAGCTCCACGGTCTGGCCACGTCGCAGGGTGACGCTGGGCGAATAACCCTCGATATATGGTGGTCCGGGTGGATCTGCGATTCACAAAAACAGAAACAGAGAAAAGAGAAGGGTTGCAGTAGAATAGTGCGTTGCATTTATAAACCCATAATGGACACAGCAACAACAACCAAAAAACAACAAACAGTAGCGAAAAACATGTGTGTTTATAGCGAGCATATTTAATTGCAGTGGCGGCCACAAATAAATTCCATTTACACTAAAACAAATGTGGCCAGTTGGCCAGTCGGATAGACGGACGGACGGACGGACAGAACAGAACATTTTTGCACGATTTTTAATTGAAGTGTTTGCATGCAAATCGTTTATGTGGTCAAACGCATTATTTTCCGATTGTCCCTTTGGCCCCGTTTTTTTTTTTTATTATTAGTGGTTGTGATACTCTTACGTAGAGGGTATAATTATTTTATCATAACACAGGAGACATCCCCGATATCATATATATATATATATATATTGATTAGCATCATTAGCCCAATTGATATGGCCAAGTCTTCATCTGTCTTTATGTTCACAGTTTTGAAGCTAATTTGTTGAAACTTGTCTTAGATTCGTCATTTTGCTGCAGGCGATATATATAGCAGCCCGAACGCATCGGTTTACTATATTAAATAGCTGTCATAGCAAGGATCGTTTGAAAGTTGAGCTATTGTATGAACAATATATATGTTGAATAACATATCTAAAGCAAACTTGGACAATATGCATTTCATTATGCTATCCACATTTGGCAAAAATACTTATCGGACTCATTTTTGGATTCAGACTCCTGCCTAATGTCAAAAAATTGAGAACCTTAATTCCCGTCTAGAAGTGTATCTAAGCTTTGGCTTGCCTAATTTAGCCATTCGCACTTGTTTTTAATCAAATTGGTCATTGTGTTGTTGATATTGTTGTTTATATTGTTGTTTTTGTTGAATAGGCGTGGCGACCTGTTCAAAAGTGCATCTGCATTTGGTTAAAATGTTGTGCAAATGCTGAATGCAGTCGAGACTGGCTGGCTACACTCACAAAAAAATCGACCTATACACTAGAAAGTTTTTCTTGTTTTCAGAAACAATTTGTGAAAATATGAAACCATTTTTCATTTTCTTAAAAAAAAACAACCTTAAGCGAAATTTCACAAAAAAAAATATGTTAAAAAAGAGTATTCAAAAATGCCAAAAGTAAATCGAATTTCTAAAATTCAGGCCGATTTTGTTTTTCCGAGTGTAGTTGGTAATTCTGCGTGTTATTGTGGGCGGCCTAAATAACATTGTTAATACCGCAAACAGTAAACAATGTGACCTGTTCAACGTGGCAATAAAACAATTACAAATACTACTACTTAGTTTTTTTAATTGTTTGCGTTTTAAATTTGTCTGTTATAACTGCTGTTCAAGATGCGTATACGTAATATCTGAACACAGTGTCGTAAAATGTGTGCCACACACGCAGAGGCACACAGGCACACACACACTGCTGCACTTATGCAGAGCCGGATAAAACCAGGCACAGAATTAAATTAAAATCACTTGAAATATTGTACGAGTATCGGCTGCCTATGCATCCACCTGGGCTTATATATACATGGGTAGCATGGGGCTGACTGAATCCGATTGTTGACCGGGACAAGTCCTTGCAAATGACAGGACTTGCCGCTGGTGCCCATAATTGGAGTGTGGAGAAGGAAATTGCAATAATAGCGCATAATTAAACGACGCAAATAGCCGGGCAGTACATATATATAGACATATATATGTATATCTCTGTACAATTAAGATGTATAAATATTTATAACACACACTCACACAAGCACATATAAAGAACTATGGCTGATGCCTGATGCTTGATGCCCGATGCCAATGACAACATTTTAATAGATTGCATTTCAAATTTGGGCAATGAATATAAATGTTTGCGATGCGGATTGCTTTGGCTATTATTCAATCTATTATATCAACGGCCAAAGAGCACGAAATGGCTAAATGTGTGTGTTCTCTCTGAGTGTGTGTGTGTGTGTGTGGCAGCAGCGTCAATAATAGCCTTGTGGCAGGCTCTGCAGCTGCAGGCTTGGTTCCATCGGCAGCTGCCTATGCATAAATAACGAAACATAATTAATTTGAATATGCCGCACGTAATGCGGATCGGGAGGAGGAAGGGGAACAGTAACAGGAACAGGAACACGAGAAGCAGCAGCGGCAGGGGGATGTGGAAGTGGGCGGTGGTGACTGGGCACAGGTAAACGCGGTTGGTCACCTGGAGAGCGAGCCCAGTTCGCCGGCAATCAATAACAGCAAGTTGGAAATTTGCAAATGCCACGCACTGCGTACCCAATGCTGCCCCCGACTCCCGACTCCCAACTCACAACTCCCCACTCCACACTCCCAACTCCCACACTCAACAAAAACCTATCAAGTTTTTCTTCTTTTTAGCTATAACTTGTAAACGAAACGAACATCACAAAAAACTTGTGTTTTTGTATATTTTTTTTAGAAATATAGTTATATGAATTTATAATCTATCGAATCTTAAGATACTAATGTGTTTTAATTATTATATTAAATTAGAGTTCCTTTGTAGAAATATGAAAAACACCCTGAAAATAATTCAAATTTGTTCTACATTTTAGAAAAACGGTACCATAAAATAAAAAAAGAATGCAACAACCCGGGTTTTTAGTAAGATACTTTCAACACAATAAGGTTAGTTACGCTTGGCGAATTCCAAAAATTCAGTTTGATTTTTGCCGAGTGCACCTCCAACTCGTAAGCGACTCCCGCTCGCAATTGCTGACCCCACACGCAGCTGAGGCGGTGCTGCTGGTCGGTGCGTAATGCGTGGCAGCAGCTGGGCGTCCCATTAGAATTTAAAAACTAATTAATACGCGTGCCAATTGCGCAATTAGCGGCCGTGAAGGCCGTGACAGGCAGGAGGGGCAACTGGAACGGTTGTTGTGGCAATTGCTCTTTGCCAATGCTTTCTGGCCGCGTTTTGCGTGCCACGAATGCTGTGCGTTGCAGCAACTCCAATGGGTGCGGGGAGGGGGGCTGGGGGGTGAGAGGTGAGGGCACTCAGCATAAGCATTTCAATTGTATTGCCAACTTGGTCATTTGAGATGGCTAATGAGGTCGGCATTCGGCATTTGGCATTCGGCATTCGACGCTTGGAATTCCGCATCCTCTATCCCTCTATCATTTGACAATGATGGGCATCCCAGTGGAATTGGGAATAGGTATTGAGTCTGGGTATGGGAGTGCCTAGGAATCTAGAGGTCTACTCACACAACACGGACAGTTGCACGGTGGCACGCATGGGCATGTCCGGCGACAGGGCCCGATGCTTCGCCTGGCAGGTGTATTCCGCGTAATCATCATTCGCGCCGGGCTTCAGCTTCAGGCTGGAGGTTGTTGTGTAGCGCTTCGGCGTCGATTCCGACACTTTATCGTCGCGCTTATCTGCAAAGAGAGAGAGAGAGAGAGACAGAGTGAGTTGGGATTAAAACAGTGATTAGTTATGCCTCTTACGTATAATCGAAAACTATAAACTACTAGATTTAATACACGCAGAAAAAATCAAAGTGAAAACTAGCAAGCTGTTCTTGATCAAAGTTTAGCAGTTGTTTGTCGTTCAGGCTTGCTAGCTCAGTGGGAATTAATTTATAGGAATTTTAAAACTCTCTTAAATGTTAGTATATGTGAAATCTTAAAATACTAACTTTTATGCCCAACTTAAGCAACATTATACATATTTCACCCCTGAAATTAAGAAAAGAAGAACACTGATTTTTTAGAAATATACTTTCTAAATAATAAGCTAAGTTACGCTTGGCGAATTTCTAAAATTTGTGCTGATTTTCTTTGCAGAGTGCACTAGCTATAATAAATATTTGTTAAATCTTCCTTCAGACTCGATTCACTTTGTAGTTTTTAAGTGTATTGTTATGCTTAGATGGCCTGTAGCTCATTTGTCTGTCGTCTGCAGTTGCTGCTACTATTCTGTACTCATTGTTTCGACGGGCCAAGACTCTCTTTGTCATAAATAATGACGCAACAAGCGAACTACCCAAAAATGCAGCTGTTGTGTGTTAGTGTGTGTGCGTGTGTGTGTGTGTGATTGTGTTGGTGGGTGTGCGTGTGCGTGTGTTATAAATTCTTGTGCGCTGCGTTAAATGTCTGCGATTTATCATAATAACAACAACAAACAATACGAAACATCAACAGCAGCAATCCGGCAAGCTTTTCACAAAGAAAATTAAAATGGCTGCTGGGTACATGTGTGTCTGTGTGTGTGTCTGTGTGTGTGTATGTGTGTGAATTTCCCTTCTAACTTGCTATTGCAAAATTTGCACGCCATTTTCGCGTACGTGCAACTGCCCCAACTCCCCCAAACAGCCCTGCCCCCGCGCATCTAAGTCGTTGTCATAAAGTTTAACGCATATTTTATGAAGTTTTCCCCCACTCCTCATCGCTCTCTCTCCCTTCCTCTGTCTTTCTCTTTTTGTCTCTCACTGCGCCATTCCGCGACCCATGAAACTCATTTGTAGGCGCATATTTCGTGTAATATTTGCTAACAACAACATCAACAACATTTTGTGACATAATTTCGACTCATAAATTGTCAATGGCTTGTTGTTGTTGTCTATTTTTTAAACTGAAAAGCTGAAGAGCCTGCTGCAGCAATATTTGTATCTGCAGAGAGCATGTGCTTTAAATGTTGCCCCAAACTATCTTCGCAGAGAGTTGAGATACAGTTGCGGGCAAAATAATAGTAGTGCTACTCAATATTTTCATAGCCCCTTTCATGGATCATTTTACTCATCGATATATCTCCTCAAGTGTTATGCGACCAAGTACTAATCATACTTTATTAAAACATTCACACAGCGTATATAGTTTTAAGAAATAGTATTTAGCTCCCAGGCAAAATTAAGAAGGCTTCAATAGTATTCCATGACTATTATGTTGATTAAAAGAATTTAAAGAATTTAATTTCTTTTGCTAATTATTTTATAGCTATGCCAGTTTATCGTCAGTATTAATTGCTCGAGTTGAAATAATATTTGCTTAATTCTTTAACTACATTTGAAGTATTTTTAACATATCGTACTCTTATTTTGACCGCAGCTGTACATATTTATACACATATACATATATATAGATTTTTTTCTTTTGGTTTTTTATATATGTATTTATACAACATATTTAACATGGCGGCGGGATAATGAGCAAGCTGTTCGGCTTGTGCCTTGAACTGGCGCATTAACCGTCATTTACGCGACCGCCACATACGTTCAACACACACCAACACCAACACACACACACACACACTCCAACACATAGTTGCACACGACCCTGAGCCAGTGAGCCACACAGCCACAGAGTCAGCGTCACTGACAGCTTGCAAATGATCCTACAGACTGCAGACACCCGGTCTCCGGTCTCCCGACTCCGGCTTGCCCATTGTCGTAAAGTCTCGTGAGAAAGGAACGGGAACGGGAACGGGAACTGTGCCTCGCAACAGTCCAGCCGCAACATATTGTGTCGTAAACATAATTCATCATGCAGCGCTCCGTTCCCTTTCCGCACTTCCTTGTTCTGAACTGCCCACATTTCCTTGCGGATTTTCCTACATTTTACGCCGTTTTGCGAAATTTTCTTATTTTTGTTCAGTTTTTCCTTTTTTTTTTATTATGTTTGCCCAAAAATTTCCATCATCATCGTCGGCAACGCCATCGCCATCGCCATCGCCATTGCTGTTGTGCGTCGTTTCACATTTTAAGCATTTTTAACGCGCCAGTTGTGCTAAAATGATTTCGTTAGCCGCCAAATGACAGCTACCAGGCAACGAACCACACACACACACACACACACACTCCCACACCTATATGTATATATGCATATCATAATCATTATGAAAATTAAATGTCGTGAAGGCGACTAAGCGCTCCCAATCCCAAACCATGTCCTGCTCTTCGCTGTGTGCAGCGTTTACATTTGCATTTTTTCATATATTCTTTTTGGTGGAAGCGTCCAATTTGACTGGCTAGCTGGCAGTATGGCTGAATGACAAGGCACAAAACAAGATAAGGGAAACGTCAGCATCAAAACATTGGCATCAACATCATCCACATCCACATCCACATTCACATGGACTTCGACATTGGCAGCTAACAGCGAGCGTTTTGTTGGGGTATAAAATTATTATTTAAGCACCGTCATCAAGCAGAAAGTCAGCGATGGCCTCTCTTTCTCTCTCACTCACATGTGCCCCAGACAAAAGGCTGCCCTCCAGCTACAGCTACAGCTCCAACTCTAACTCCAATGTCCAATCTCCAACTCCAACTCCAGCAGCAGCCAAAACCCATTTACACTTTTTGTTTTACTCTTGTTGTTTCTGTTTGTGTTTTTTTTTTTATTTTTTTTTTGGCAGAGTGGATCAAGCCACGTTGCTGATGGCCAAAAAGGGATGAGCAAGGAGAGTGGGGTATTGGGGGTAGGGTTGTAAAAGTAAGGATAAGGGTTGGGGTTGGGGTAGGGGTAGAGGGGCTGCCATTAGAAGAGACATGCGTTCGTTACGGATATTTCGGGCGGCTGAATGTTGCTGTCTAAGTGGACATTAAATTTGATGGCTTAGTGTTGTGTGACACTTGTCACGAGCTGTGCGAGTAGGTGTCTGTGTGTGTGTACATTACATATATATATACATAGAGAGAGAGCTACATAGCTATAGATATGTGTAGATATATGTACTAACCTGGCTTATATTCAACATTGCCACGATACCAAACGATTTGGGCTTCCGGCTTCGCATTCGCCACGATGCACTTGAGTGTCAAATCCTGATTCTCACGGACCTCCACTTTGGCGTTGTGGCCATAGCCTTTGATCTCGATCGATGATGGCGGTGCTGCAACATAGAGAGAGAGCGAGAGAGAGAGAGGTGATTAGAAATAGTGATTAGACGACTGTTATTTGCAAATGCTAGCAGCCAACAACTGTTGCGAACAATGCTTAGCCGGAGCCAGAGGCGAAATAAAACAAAACAATGGCAGGCAGCAACAGCTCCAACATCAACTCGAACAACAATAACAACAAGAACCAGAACTAAGAGCTAGCTCTCGCTCATTATGCGACAATGCGGCATGTTGGCCAGTTGGTTGGGGGGCGGGGGAGGCGACATTGTTGTGGCAGGTTGAATGGCCGCCAAAGTAGTGAATGTAAATGGAATGCATGGCCTGCAGCAGGCTCACCGTCTAGCTAGTCGACTGCCCGCCCCCTGTGCGCCTGGCGCCCAACTCCGCGGCAACCCGCGGCCCGCTCCTGCCTCCCGTTAATGTGCTCAAGTATGAGTCTCAATATTTGTGCAGCAGCAGTGGGTGGCAGTACACTCAGCGAAATTTAGTAAATAGAAATAATTTCAAAATATAAGAAAACATTTTTCTTAAAATTAGAATGGCTTCCCCAAATCGACAATCTCAGAAAAATTATGGTTTCTTTTTTTAAAATTAATTTATATTCTTAATAAATGCTTTATTAAACTAAAGTTTATCTATATTAGAGTTCAACTGCTATCTACTTTGGAGTAGGAGTTTCCGTTTCGGCGAAGTTTTGTTTGCCGAGTGTATAAACAGCAGCAGTCAAACACAATGGGGCAAGAGTTGTAGAAACAGCAGCAGCAATAGAATTGCTAAGCACACACACACATACACCCATACACACACACAGACACACATAAGCTCGCACACAAACAAACAATTGTGGATAAAGTTAAGTGCACGTGTGCATTATTTTAATGCCACCTGAAGGAGGCGTGCAGCAAGCAGCCCTTACGTCTTGCGTTTGGCATTGTTGTTGCACAGCCACCATGCTAACACCACGCCACGCTGCCAGGCTGCCACATGCAACAGACGCCCAGACAGAATGCTTGTATAAAATACTCGTTGCAGCAGCGAGAAATAAAGAAAGCGGGATAAAAAGGAGTCGCATTTGACATGCAACATATGTTGCCTGCTGCCTGCCTGCGTCGTAGAAGTTGTTGCATGCGAAATGAATGCTTAATGTCAGCGTTGCAAGGATGACGAAGAAAAAAATAATAATAACAAGGACAACAAGCACCTAGCGAGGGAGCAGGGGGAGGTGGCGACTTCTCTAGTAACTAAGCCGCACAGCAACGGGGAAGGTAATTGCTTTTCTTTGCTACCAAATGAAATCAACACCGACCAACGCAGTCCTGCGGAGTCCTTTGATAGGTGCCTCCGTTGAGAGGTGTGCTTGCCCACAACCCACAAACCACACCCCACCCCTGCCCCGACCACCTGCCGCTTGTCGCGTTGTAGATGCCTCCAAGCTGCCTTGTTGTTTGTGAATTTTATTTGCATAGCTCTGGGCACATTAAATTATTATGCACAAATCAAATACACAAACACCAAATCCCGCGACTCAAACACCACGCACACACCACACACACACATGCATAGCTATATATACTTATATGTGCCTTGCAGGGTTTTCCGAATTAAATTGCCCCCAACACTTGCTACCCATAATGGCTGACTATATTGTATAAGTAATCTGATTGTCTGCGCCCAAAAGTAGGCAGTGGCAACTGCTACTGCTACGATTCACAGCGCCACCTGCAAAATGTCCCAAAAATACGTTGACGAGCTGATGGAAAATATCCGGAAACATACACTTTGAAAAAAACATCACTGTGCATTTTAGAAATTTGCCATACTTTTGGAAACCATTGGAAACTCACCTCTTTATTTAGAAAGTAAATTTCTAAAATTGAGGTTTGCGTCTTTCTCTCAAATTTAGAAACAAATTTCTAATTTTAAGAAAAGCGCTATAATTTTAAGGTCGATTTACAGAGCTTATTTTTTTATTATTTTGTTGAGTGTATGTATATAAAAAAATTTCAGATATTGTAGTTACCAGAAAGAGCGATCTTATCGAGACAAAATGGAGCAAAGCCAAAGTTGAAATGGTCTCGTGCCAGACGACTTAAATGGGTGGAATGCTGTGGCAAGCTGGCGATATGTTGCCTCTGATTGGGTGTATTCATAATATTCATATTCTAAAATGCATAACAATATTTGATTGACCCTAATGGGGGGTATTCAAAGTTAAATGTAGTTGCATATTATGATTGCACTCGCAGAAATTGCAGTTCGCTTTGCAACAACAACATCAACAACAACCATAATAACAAGAGTCTGTGTGTAACCTGTGCACACACATGAGGGGGAGGGGGGAGTGTATGTAGATTGTTATGTGTGTGTATTGTTGATTGGTATACAATTGTATTTGATTATTGACATTCATGGACGACATTGATCGATCAACGTAGCCGCCGCCGCTTACTTTGTCGTCGGATCGAAGAACACCTTTGAAGGTTGCAACAACCACTGATTGTTGTTGTTGTTGTCGTTACATCTGATTATGAATGAGCTTTGAAGGTGCAAGTCCCACACAGGCCGACTCCCCTTGGGGCAGCTGCTGTTGCAGCACTACAAAACATAGGAGAATTGCTCTCGCAGCGATTCGTTGATTAAATTTTATGCACTGACCCAGCAAAGGGCAGAAAAGGGTCAGGGGGAGTGGGGGTTTTAGATGGGGTTAGCTGCAAATAATTTATGCAGCCATTGTTGCACTGGTGCTGGTGCTGCTGATGCTGCTGCTGCTGTTGTTGCTGCACTCAGCAAAAAGTTGCTATGAATTTTGGAATTTTGGTTTTTAATTTAAGAGTAGATTTTTTAAAAATAAATATTAGTATTTGAAGATTTAACATACACAAATATTTCAGATAGTTTATAAATGCATATAATTTAAATGAACAACAACTAAATTATTTTTAAAAACAAGACAAAAGTTCTAATTTGTAGATCGATCTACTGAAACGTTTTTCTGAGTGTGATGCTGCTGTTGTTGCTGTTGCACGGATGCAGCGCAAAGTGCAATTTGCCATGAATTCTGGCGAAGCTCGCGAAGCTTCTCAGCCTGGTAGTAGCTTGTTCTTCTTCTTCTTCATCTTCTCTCCGCCAACCCGCTAATAGTACGCCTCATAAAAATTTTATGCGCTGAAATATTTCTCGACATTTTCTTTTATTTTCATTTCTTTTTTTCCTCCAGCAGCAGCAGGATAAGAAAAACCAAGAATTGGCAATTTTTCCATTTGACGTCAACTGCTGCGTTGAGGGAGAAAAAAAAGAAAGAGAGAGAAAGGGAGAGAGAGGGGGGAGAAGGAGAAAGAGAGCGCCATAGCATTTTCAGGCCAAACTTCAAATTGCTAACATTTCTGCCAAGATGACACAAGGACGCCGGACTCCAACCCACCCGCGTTGGATGTACTTTAACCTAAAGGTCACACACAACAAATGCCTGTCCATAATTCAAGAGTCACGCCCAAGTGCAGAGAGAGAGAGAGATAGAGGGGGAGGGGGTGCGGGGGAGTTGAGGGGTGTCCATAAACTTTGATCATTTGCACTACAATTACGTTGCAATTATTCGAGTCAAATGAGCGGAAATTGATAACGAATTCTTGACCATTTCAAAATCATTAAAGCACATTTATTGCCCGCAGGCCACACAAAAAGAATAAAGAAGAACTCCAACTGTAACGGAGACGAGGACAGAGACTGAGTGTGTGTGTGTGTGTGTGTGTGTGTGTGTGTGTGGATTCGACAAGCTCATTTTTCCATTTTAGCCCCAGCTGGACTGCAGCCGGCATTGCATAACACAGAGAAAAGGGAGAAAAAGAAGAAAAAAACATATTTCAGCTCTTTTTCTTTGAATTTTTGCATTGCTGCTTTGTATTCAAAATTTATAAAAGGCTGCTCTGCTTTTTTGGCCGTGCATGCCTTGAATTCCATTGTGCCCCGGAGTCACGGAGCAGCTGAATCGCCATTGCCCAGGCCCAAACCCAAGCCCGGATCCAGGCCCAGGCCCAGGCCCAGGTTGAGTTTCAGTTGTGAGTTAAGGTTCAGGTTGCCAGTGCGTTGGCAGCACAAAACTTTTAGACATGGTCGCCTTGCGGCATATGTATGTTTTTCGGTTGCGTTTTTTAAAATTAATGGCATGCAAACGAATTTTCTACAATTTTCCATAATTTTGCACGTGGACTTTTGTGTGCAAAAGTTCTTTACACTCTCTAAATGGCCAACTTATAATCTAATTGCGCCCGTTCACATCTACGCATGTGAGTGTGTGCAGGTGTGTGTTGTGTTGTGTGTGTATTATGTGTGTGTGTGTGTGTGTGTTATGTGTGTGTATAGTTGGGTCCAGGAAAGTTGTAGCTTGTAGCGGGCAGCGTACGTTGAAATTAGTTGTAAAAGAACTTTGCCTTGTCTGACTCGAAATTAAATTTGTGAATGACAAAGGTTTGTTCATTAGCATGCATATGTTATTTTAATTAGAGCAGGAGAGCAGTAGACCGAGAGAGAGAGAGAGTGAGCGAGGGAGTGAGAAAGAGAGACAGTAGTGAAACCAGTGTTTTTCCAATGCTGCTTCGATTATGCAGACTAATCAATCTTGTATGCCGAAATTAGATACAAAAAATCATAAATTTTACTTTAACTTAATTAGTTTTAATAACAGCAAGACAACAATACATAGAGAGAAAGAGAGAGCAAGTCAGTAGTGAAAAAATTGTTGCATTTTAATTTGAAATCTGCATCAATTCGAACAGTCATTAATCAATATCGAATGCCGATATTAGATTAATAAATAAATCAAATACAAATGTAATTTGAACTTAATTGAATTATTACACATTTGTCCACATTGCGAACGAAGAGCTAATTGCTGCAATAATGTCGCACGTGTTTTGTTCCGGATGCCTACGGGAAATACCTATGTATGAGAATATATATATGTGAAAATACATACACACTCACACACACACACACAAACACACACATACCAACATATTTTAGTCATTCAGAGTAACACAGTAGATGCCATAACAAAACAAAGTAGAAGGCAGCGAACAAACACTCTCTGACAAGATAGACAGAGAGGGAGGAAGAGGGAGAGGAACAGAACTCACAAGTACCCAACAATTATGACAAACATTTCTTCTTTGGGGCTGTTCTGCTCAGACAGAGGACGACCTTTCCCCACAACAACAACAACAACAGCAGCAACAACAATACCAACAACCATAACTAACGAGCTTATATGAGAATCCGAGACGGAGCCATCGCGTTTTGTATACCCTAAACCCACTGAAAATGTGTAGACAGGATATAATGTTTTTCAGCTTAAGAATGTAACACGCAGAAGAAAGTGAGTCCGACTCCTTAACGCATTTACATTCTTGATCAGCATCAACAGCAGAGTCGATTTAGCCATGTTTGTATGAAGACCAGAAGGATCTCAGATGAAGCTTGCTTCATGTTATCGATAACTACATTGGCTTCACAAATATCGATAGATATCGATTTCCGAAAGCAATAAAAGCGTGTGTGTGCCTGCCATAAGAAATGAGAGCACTTCCACACCTGCTTACATTTGAGTATGCAAAACTTTTTAATGGAAATTTTGGCAATATATGTATTTCGCATATTTATTTAACAACTGGGTTCATAGGGTATATCGTAGTCAAGCTCACAGAACTACAGCATTCTAACTTGTACTTGCTTTGAGTTTTTTTTCGAAGGCTCTCTTCTCGGCACAAACACACATCATCATTGTCACAGCTCATGGCGCGTAATTAACTAAACAAACGTCATTAGGCATGCGCATATTTGTGTGTGTGTGGGTGTGTGAGGGTGTGTGAGGGTGTACGAGTGTGTGTGAGTGTGTGTTTATGTGTGTGTGAGCCTTGGGCAAGACAGCATCACGTTGTCGACTAGCGTTGCTAGGGCATGTCAGAGAAGAAGTGGGTCGCAAGTGGAAAGATGGAATGAAAAAAGAAACCTACAAGAATAGAAAGAAGAAGAAGATGGAGAAACATGAGCAGAAAAAGGAGAAGAAGGCAGCCAAACGAAGCAAAGGAAATGAAAATCGCTGTCATCAAATGTAGCGCAATTTCTTGAGTGATTACAACAACAGCAGCAGCAGTTGTAGAAGCAGCAGCAGCAACAGGAGATACCTACACACACACACATACACACTCACACACACATTCAAAGTGATTACTCGACAGCAGCAATAACAATGCAACGAAACACACTCACTCACACACACAGAAGTACGCACACCCTGACATATGCACTAAAAACAAAAATAAATTCATTTCGCTTCAATTTGAAAATGCTTTCTGCACACCCCACCTTCCTCAGCCTCTTTCAATTCTACGTACACTCAGCAAAAAAACGGCTTCGAAACAATGTTCTGGTTTTCAAAAATAATTTATAAATATATAAAAAGACAAGTTCTTCGAATTGAAAAGCATTTTTGTTAATTTATAGTCATTTTTTCTTTTCAAGAAATAAATTTATATTGGTTGCAAATGTTTTATTATTAAGGAATCAAATTTTAAAAAGCATAATTGAAATACCAAAAAAAAAAAGACTGGAAATTAAGGACATCTTAATTCTCGAAATTTTGGCAAAATATAAACTTTAATTTATTGCTTATTATATATTTAATTGTATATTTTCTAAATTTCAAGGCAAAATCTCAGGGAGATTATTATTTTTTTGTTGTGTATACAGCTCCTTTTGCCCCAAGTTTGTGCCGACAGTGTCAGCTCAGACAGTGACTCCTTGGAGCAATAAACTGCGCTAAATTCAGCTCAGCTCGTACTTTGTTGCTGTTGTTGTTGTCGTTGTTGCTGGTGTTCCAGTTGCTGTTGCTTTGCAAATTGCTGACAATAAATGTTGGCAGCTACAACCGCCAAGCCAACATCCCACCAGCAATTTGGCCAACACTCGCAAAGCGAGTGGAGTCGACAGATATTTAAATATGCAAGTACAAATGGTGTAGGTGCAATGAGGTGGAAACCCAAAGACAGACAAACGAATTGTATTAAATACTCGAATTAATTGATGCTGCTAACAAGCACACACAGAAACTCAAAGAGGCATATATAGACATATATATATATATATATATATATGTAAGTTATACATAAATACTTACAGATGACAGTCAGCTTGGCATTGGCTCTAATTGCCGAATTGAGTCGAGCTGGGCCCACCTGGCACTGATACTCGGCATCATCGTTGATGGATGCATTCGAGATGCGCAGATTGTAGATGCCCTGTTTGCGATCCCCGAGCACCGAGTAGCGCGGATAGCCAGGTATCACTGTGGAGAAACCCAAGGCGAAGCCATCCTTTGTCCACTGTACCGCACCGGCAAGATTGGCGACCTCGCAACGCATCATCGCCTCGGCACCCTCCAGCACCTGCAGATCGTGCGGCGTCGTGCGAAACTTTTGCTGCTGCGCGCTGCATGCAACTGGCTGCAACAGCAACAGCAGCACCGACAATATAACTGCAAGAGAAGAACATAAAGTAGTATCTCGTTAGTCACAGGTATTGATTTAGTTTGTTGAGTAAATCTATTATGGATCTGCCCTCCTTACTCACATACCTGAACTATTCTGTACCCAAACTTAGGCAACTAACCATAGCAATACAGCTGAATAAAAAGGACGAAGAGAACAGTACACATCTTTTACCTTAAGCAGATATGAGTGTATTCTGTGTGTATCCATTCAAATTGCGCCTTCTATTTTTGAATATGGCTCTTGTCAATGACAAAGATCATCAATATAGATGCCAAGCTGTACAAAATAAATCACAAATTTGTCCTACGGGTTCTTCTCTGCCTGCTAATAATAGCTTTACTTTTGTTAATAATAAGTGCTGAAATGAGTTCTGCTGAATATCATTCAAGTTTCAGTTTTGTAGGTTTTATCTAGCAATTTTCTAGCTGCTTCTCTTATGCTGTAATTAAGAATAATACTTTCCCCTTAATGAATAGTGCCACATTTCTGTGTGTTTTACTAAAACTTTAGCTTGCATAATAATAAAAATGCAATGATTAATGCCGTTTGTTGTCTTTCGACAGACGTCCATTTCTATTAGAGATGGCAATGGAACTAAAGCTTCTGACAGCTTTTAGCTGCTCTAAAATATGAAATGAGTATTTTGACAGTTGCCCGCAAAAAACAATGGAAACTGCCCGCAACTGCTGTCTCACAAAGAGACAATGGGACGGCGAAAGAGAGAGAGTTAGAGAAAGAAAAAGAGGCAGAAATAGGAGATGGTAGACAGGAGACAGTCGCCTAAATAGCAAATCCTGACCGCAATAAGGCAGAACATGTCGCTGTCAGTGGAGTCGCAGAGGCAGTTCCTCCACCCCCACCAACTCCTCCTCGTCCCCCCTTTGCCCTCTTTCTTCTTGGACACTAAATTGCCGCGGACCGCCGAGCTGCAAGTTAGGAGCAGTTGGAGTCAGAGTCATAGTCGGAACCGAACTTTGACCGCTCGGAAAATGAAAAGTTTTTTTAATGAGAAACAAACACATTTCCACTTGCCACTCCACTCCTGCCATAAACAAAAAGCGCTGCCCCCGTTGCACAAAAGCCAATTGTAGGCGTGGCACTCCGCCCACGCGGGTGACTGTTTGCCAAGACTTATTGCTGACTGCAGTCGCTGGCAGTTTATTTCTTCCACCCCCTCCAACTATTAAATTGTGAAGAAAAAAGAATGGAAAAAAAGAAAGGCGGACGAAAGAGGAAGCTTCGCGGAACAGAGCCCAGAATCAACAAAAGCATTTAACGCGGCCATCAGGCAGCTACAGTTGTTTTAGGTCCCCCCGCCACCCACTTCGTTTCTCTCTGGACTCTGGTCTCCGTTCATATCCGTATCCTTGTCCGTGTCCGTGTCCGTCCCCGTCCCCGTTCGCATCGTTGTCCGTTTCATAAATTTCAAACGGATCTGCTCTTGTGGAATGTTGAATACGGCATGCGGCATGCAACATGCATACAGCCAAAGAGTGCTAGTGCCTGGTTGTTTATTTATTAGCGCCCAGATGCAGTTTTAAATACCACACGGAACAGCTCGGAAATGATAGGAAAATTACTGAGATGTTAACCGCAACACACAAGTCACAAGAACTACTCCACAAACAACCTTAGTTACAGCTCACAAGGTATGCCAAAAAAAAAACTACATAAAAAAAGTAAAGGAAAATGCGAACCCAAAAACTAATCGCAGACGAACCCAAAAAGGGCCAAGGCCATGATTAATATGGGCTCTATTTGCATACACATGATGTCTGAGTGGAACATAAATGAATTTTAAATACAATATACTATATCCCGTATACCATACAAATGCGATGCGATGCCAGGACGACATGCATAAATCCACAATGCGGGACAAGGGATGTGTGTCGGTGTGCTGAGTGCTTGGGTTCATTGCTGCCGACTACCGACTACCCAGCGACTACACTCAGCACAAAAATATCGCACAAAACTAGAAAGTTTTCCTCTATTTAAGTATCAATAAGTAAACATTTTTCAATAAATTTTAAAGTCTTGTCATAAATTGTTAATGGTGGGTTTCTACTATCTTTTTAGACAAATATTTTCTAAAATTTAGAAGCGAATTTCTAAAGATTTAAGATTCAAACCCCTATTTTCAAAAAAATCTTATCTGAAATTTAGAAACAAGTAATAAAATTTACTTGTTCGTCTTTTATAAAAGACTTTAGCTGTTGTCCAAAATGAAGTAATGAAAAATCCTGGAATTTGGAAATATATTTTCAGATTTAATAAGGTAAGTCTAAAATTCAGACTGAATTTTTTTCTGAGTGCAGCCAGTAACTGACAACTGGCAAGGGCCAACTCTTTACGATTTCATTATTTTGCTCTTTCGTACATAATTTGTGTTTGCCGCTGTCGAGTCGAAGGAATGCGATACGAAAAGTTGTTCCTACCAGGAGAAATCTTATTGCTGCTGCTGTTGTTGCTGTTGTTGCCATTGTTGCTATTGTTGTTGTCGATGTTGTCGCGCAATTTAGCATAGAAGTTGTTGTTATTGTTCGGGGCAGCAGTAGCAGCAGCCAGCCAGCCAGCCAGCCAGCATTACTGTCAATTTATATAAATTTTCAGATGCCTATGCTCTGCTCCCCTTTTCACCCCTTCAAATCCCGCTCAATCTCCTGCAATCCTCCACCGCTTTATTAGAATGAAACTGTCAAACGCAGGCGAATCCGAGAAACCAAAACCAAACCCAAACCCGAAACGGGAACCCGAGAGTCAGAGTTAGAGTCTGAGTGTTGAGCATGGAAACCCTTGCCAGCAGCAGGCGCGGCCATAACCTTTGCCCCCTCTACGCAAATGTGAGCCTATTTCACAGACAGCACACACACACTCGCATACACATATACGTAGTTGTGGGTTGTTGGCTTTATACAGAGAGAGTTCATAGTTGAGTAAATTTTTACCTCGTTGATGATGGGCGCATCATTGGCGAACTTGAACACTTCGAGGCCAAAGAACTTCACATGTGTGTGTGTGTCTGTGAGTGTGTGTGTGTATGTGTGTGTGTGCATATATTTGGATTTTCAACAAATTTGCGTAGCGTGTTGTTTTGTGTTCATTGCCATTGTTGTTGTCCCATATTTTCGAAGCGAAAAATTTTAATAAAGTAAATTCCTATTTTACGGCTTGAAAGGAGGAAACCCATTTTTGCCGATGGGTGTATAAAACAGGGGCTCATCCGCTGCTGCTGCTGCTGCTGCTGCTCCTGCTCCACGGAGTGTGCACACATTGTATTGCGAGAGCATCATCAAACTGAAATTGAAGCATGACACACACACAAACACACACACACACACAGAGTTACTCATGTGTCATGTGCGGCCAGCAATAGTCGAATGGAAACGCAGCAAGCAACAAGCGTAGAAAGTGCGAAAAGGATTTAAATGCTTTAGGCGTCACCTTTGGACCGTGCCCCAGCAAAGATTGTATGCGATGGGGCCACATGCCCCCAAAGCCCCTTGCCACATAACAGCAACAACAGCAGCAGCAACATTGTCAAGTTTTTGTGTGTTGTTTTTCAGTTTTTTTTGCGCGCACGCGAGAACTTGATTGTTTTTGGGAGCTGGAACAGCATTTCACATACACTCAGAAAAAACGGACTTGAATAAAAAAAATAAAAGAATTCTTATGTAAACTTATCTGTTATCTCTATTAAATATTAAACATTACTATTTTAAGAGTGATTTCCCACTGAGCTACTGTGGACAGTTTAATTACCATATACAAGCCGACCAACTAAATTTCATTACTATCTTCTGAATATCAGCAAGATAATTTCAAAGAATGTAAGTTTACATTTCTACTTTTTAGAAATGCATTTCTTGATAATGGAAAATATTTCTAAACATCAGAAACAAAACTTTATTTTTGGGATTGTCGATTTAATTTTATTTTTTATACTTTTAAGAACTTTTATTCTTATATTTAGAAAGTGCTTCTTAAAACAAGAAAACCACTTTAATTTTTAAGTCGCTGTTTTCGCAGAGTGTAAGGACGAAGACACACATGTACACACGCACACACACACACAGACAGGCAGGCAGTGAGACAGACAGATAGACAGATGAGGACATCCGCATACAAATCCCGGCCGCAGTGCTTTGACATTGACGCGAGCAGCGTGGCCAAAAAAACAAAAAAAAAAAACAGAAAGGGTTTTATTTTACGAGCGGGACTATCAGTGTTATTGTTATGACTGAAATTTGATGGCCTCAACCGCTTCTGGCTTGAACTGGAACTGGAACTCGAGATGGAGATGGAGATGGAGCTGACGATGGAGGCAATGAAGGCTGCGTTGCACAACTAGCCAAGTGATGTATGTGTGAAGAGAGGGCGGCTGTTTTAGGGCCTAAACCCGCTAACCCGCCGCCAACCCCCAACCCCTAACATCTAACCCCATCAAACACTTGCCGCTTTATGGCGCTGACGCAGTGAAACGATGATGATGATGCCTGGCTCCCGCCCAGCCAGTTATCTGTCTCCATGACCGGAGCTGATTAAGCAGCCCTTTTCGGCAAAAGGGGCGCAGATTGCTTTAACGAGATGGCAAATGCTTGCCCCGCTCTGCTGCTGCTACCTCTTCTCAAGTGACACCTGAGTGGCAGCCCCATCTATAAGATCGCATCCAATCTCTGGCACCATATTTATCGCTGCTTGCGAGTGTGTGTGTGTGGAGTGGAAAGCAGTTAAGTTTTATTCGCAGTGCTTTAAATGCTCACGTCCTTGTTTGTTGTGGGCCCGCTTTGACGCCAAAGCACCAATTTGAGCCTTGCAAATTGTATGCAGCATGCCAGACAGAGATAGATCTAGAGATATTGAGAGAGGAAGGCAATGAAGAGTGCACTCAGAAAAAAAAGAATGCTCGGAAAAAACAAACTTGGATAAGTAATAGAATATTGCAGCACCCATACCTAAAAAACATATTTCTTAGGCTAGATGAATGAATTCCAGACAGAATCATATTTTCAAATTTAAATATAGGCTAAGCTTTGAAAATGTGGTCAGGTTTGGCAGAGTTATGTTAGTTTTGGAGTAGAATTTCTAAATTAAGAAGATTTTTTCCATTTATCAGAAATTTGTTCTATTATTAAGAAGCACATTTCTAAACAGTAGAAATCCA